TTCACATCGTTTACACGATCTCTTATGCTGTCTTGCACCTTGGCTTTGTTGACCATGGATACGCCATCCCAAAAGACATTCAACAGGAGCTACTAATGCAGAGTGTTTTTCACGCTCGATCTCCGCGATCTACCTCGTCACGCCAATAAAATCCTCCGTGACACTGGCTACAGTCACAAGAGACGTCTCAGTAAGGTAATGAGCACGACAACACCGTCCAGATCAAGGACAAAGAGAAAACAAAACACTCGCTGAAAACAGCAAAGAAGAAACGAATAAATGTACACGATTCCTATAATGTTGCCACTGACAACAGGTTCGGTGGAGACGACGCTACTTTTGTTTGTCCCCAGTGGGATCGTTGCTATGCGTATCGAAGGAACTGTGACGTCATCACTTAACAGCCGCATTACACATTTGCATGACAAGGTGGTCACGTGGTCAGGCAGACCGATGCAATGACAGTGCTCATGGCAATGATAGGTTTCATGATATGTGAAAAAATTCATTTTGCCCGTACAAGAGGCTTTATTAGGTACATGAGTACGTGTCGCTGTGTGTAACCATGGACACCACTCGTCAATACTCACGCCTGCGTGGTTCTACGCTACGCCTCCAAAACCAGGTAAGTTATTATTTATTCTTGTTTTACTAGGAAATTCCCAACAGGCGGCGACGCCTTTTTACAGGGAACCCTAGGTGGTCTCTCAACATTCGATTAACCATGTTCACGCCGTTCGATTGCTTGGAAGAAATATCGCACTTGAATCGATTCACGAATGTATTCATGAATCATTATTCAAGTGTGTAATCGAACGCACTCAGTGAACTTGTATTCAACTAGTTACGTCACTTCCGAGGTTTCCAGCTCCCCAAGTAAGTGTGACCATCCGGCGTCCACGTCCTAGTATACAGTGCATTTTGTATGACAGACTCTGACAATGTTGAGAACTTACTTACTCACCAAGGCCACCTTTGAGAGAATGTCGTGCGAGTAGCGTCACGAAAGTCTGCGCGCGACATTCTAAAAGTCCGGGTGTGATTCGTCGCATTTGTTCAGAGGTTCGATAGACTGTAACCTGTGGGAACGTTTGTCGCGTTTCATCTTGATACAAGTACATAATTATTCCTGTACTCAACAACCGAGTTGAAAAAAACTTCATCAATGTGTATGGATTTTGGTGGACTTAGCCTTTCGCATTCAAATCAGCTTCAGATGTTTCGACTTGGAGCGAGCTGACTGAATGCAAAAGTTACCAGGCATAACCGCGGGGAGGTGCCACCGTCTATGCCCGCTTGGAGATCAACAGCTCCTTCACCAGGAAGGAACTGTCGTCATCCCATCCAAGCGTTTCTTCACGGAGTTGTCTCTCCGGCATTGTTCTTGGAGTATGCTCTCCTTTACCGTTTCGCAGCATTGTCGATTGAGTCACTGATCACGTCGTTGCATCACTGTCATCATCTTCAGGTTCTGATATGTCGTCAAAAACAACGAAATGTTTAGCATCTGGTGCGAACGTGGTGCTGTCGCTGAGCTTGGCTGTCTCTGGCAACTCTCCATAGGCCTTCAGCTTCATTGCCTCCTCGTGGCTGTACTTCATAATTACATCTGCTCTAGAATCCTGGAAGTCCCTGACGCCAATCAGTATGATGTCGCCTTGCTTGATCCAGACTTTGTTCCACCTTAACGTTCCTCGAATTTGGCAAATCCGGGTTCTAGCATCATAACACCAAGCCTCCAGGCGACAACAGCCAAACAGCTTGGTAACTTGTGCGTATTCGGTGCCATCATTTCTGAATACTAACTCTCGATTGCTGTCGGTGCGGACCGCCTTGCGTTGACGACGATTCTTTCCTCCTTTCCCTTTATTCGGCCGCATGGCTGTCACCGAATGAAAGTATGTTCTCGAACACAAGGCACAATGTGCACAACTGAATCTCTCCTTCGTAGCTTCGCGTTACACTGATAGCGATCTAAGAAATTCTGCAAGCAAAACTCTATCCTACACTCCAGTGAACTTGGGAAAAAGAACCCTAAACATGCTGTAAGCTCGCATTTATACCCTTGTTCGCCGCCAGTCACGTCGCAGGGCGCGGGCGATCGAGCTCTGGCGATACACGTGTATCGGCATCTGTGTGGTAGGTCAAGTGTTCAGGCAGTGCTCATAGACATGAGTCATGGCAATGATAAGTATGTGTCGCTGTGTGTAACCGTGGACACTACTTGACAGCTAGCAATATAATTTCTAGCTGTCAAGAACCACGCACAAGTAATTATGACGTGTGCGTGGTTCTACTTTGCCCCCCTCTAAAAATTAAGTACCAGGTGCTTGCTTTGAGCGTAGATCTACATGCCGACGCTAGCCAAGCTGGCAATGTCTGTACGGTGATGTTCACCCACGCCTAAACCTTTTAATACCACACGCTGGTCTACAACGACTGGGGGTTTTGCACGTTAGATTCACCCAAGTACCAGTAGCTACTATGAGCCCTGCACTAGGCTAGCTACTGAATGCGCTAAGTAGTACTCGCCCATCCGCCCCTCCCCACCTGAAGGGTGGAGGAGGTAGGGGCGCTTTGGCGGGATTTTACGGTATTGTTATTTAAATTTTAAATACGGCAATGATAGGTTTCATGATATGTGAAATAATTCATTTTGCCCAGTACAAGAGGCTTTGTTAGGTACATGAGTACGTGTCGCTGTGTGTAACCATGGACACCACTCGTCAGTACTCACGCCTGCGTGGTTTTACGCTACGCCTCCAAAACCAGGTAAGTTAATATTTATTCTTGTTTTACTAGGGAATTCCCAAAAGGCGGCGACGCCTTTTTACAGGGAACCCTAGGTGGTCTCTCAACATTCGATTCACCATGTTCACGCCGTTCGATTGCTTGGAAGAAATATCGCACTTGAATCGATTCACGAATGGATTCATGAATCATTATTCAAGTGAGTAATCGAACGCACTCAGTGAACTTGTATTCAACTAGTTACGTCACTTCCAGCTTTTCGAGCTCCCCAAGTAAGTGTGACCATCCGGCGTCCACGTACTAGTATACAGTGCATTTTGTATGATAGTTGAGTTGTCAGAGTGGTTACGTAATCGCCCTAAAATCGTGTCGCAGGACTGACCATAGGCATAGTCCATAGCAGCTACAGTCACGCGTGGCACACGACCATGATCCTGCACTAGCCTGAAAAAATCGCGTGGGCGTGCAAACAACAATACTTCCCTGGCCTCGTACAGGAGACCAAGCTTGTTTTTGAAATGTTTGGAGAGGAAGAAGGCGAAGAGCAAAGAGAAAGCCCCTGTTCAGAGTTTGAACTAGCAATCTGCGTTGTGTTTTCGCGAAGCTGCCGCTGAGCCAAAGTAGGTTATTTTCGTTTGGCTTTTTCGGTCCCTGCGCATCGTTGTACGCCTTGGATTCGCTCACCATCGTCTTCCGCGTCCTTGAATTTAGTTTCTTGCAAAGTTTGGTCGCCGTGCTTGCTTGCGCACCATAGCTTTTTGATCGTTTCTGTGCGCACGCACAATAATAATAATGATAATAATAATAATACGAAGTAGTGGTTGCGACTTCGGCGATAATTTGTAAGAAAGGGTTTGCTCCCCACACCGGAGCTCGCGCTATTCAGTCAGTCAAGTGTCAAGTAAAGTCGGCGGAATAGCGCGAGCTCCGGTGTGGGGAGCAAACCCTTTCTTACAAATAATAATAATAATAATAATAATAATAATAATAATAATAATAATACGAAGTAGTGGTTGGGACTTCGGCGATGACTTGTAAGAAAGGGTTTGCTCCCCACACCGGAGCTCGCGCTATTCCGCCGACTTTACTTGACACTTGACTGACTCACGACTGCCATCCAGAGCACACGAGAAGTCCATCGAACCTTCGACTCGGCAAACCTGCAAGAAAGCACCACTCCCTGCTCAATACACAGTGTTTCGGGGAATTCACCCCTCATCAGTTGAGCTTGAGTAGGCTGAGGAAGATTGTGCCTGAAGAGCACCACTCATAATATTATAGTGCTCTCCAGGCACGAACATCAACAGCGTTGGGAATGACCGAGGGTCCTCGACGTCTGTCTCACCGTCCAGGAGCGACACTGACTCACGCTACTACCTTGTGCTCACGAGGTGTTTGTCGCGCTGAAAACGGAGCGTCTCTGTAAGTTTGTATCCCTAGCACTTTCCCTCAGCTCTGCACTTTGTTCCCCATGGCAACCGCTGATGACGCACTGGGCAAGTTAGTTGACGGCATTTGTGCCATCGCATCTTGCTGTTTGTATGCAGTGGTGCATCCCTCAGCTCGCCAATAGCGGGTACCTGTCACCCTACTTCGAGCGCGTATATATACTGCTTCCATGGCTTGGATTCAACTAAAACTTGACCAGTACGGAGCGTTTTGAATACTGATTCGATTGGTATATCACTCATTCCTCTGGTTTCAAGTTAGATTTTTCGTCTGATACCGCTGATGATAGACTCTGAGAACGTTCAGAACTTACTTAGTCATCAAGGCCACTTTTGAGAGAATGTCGTGCGGGTTGCGTCACGAATATCTTCGCGCGACATTCTAAAAGGCCAGGTGTGATTCATCGCATTTGTTCAGAGGTTCGTTAGACTGTAACCTGTGGGAACGTTTGTCGCGTTTCATCTTGATACATGTACATAATTATTTCCTGTACTCAACGACTGAGTTGAAATTGATCTACTTCAAACTACATCAATGTGTATGGATTTTGGTGGACTTAGCCTTTCGAATTCAAATCAGCTCCAGATTTTTGATTTGGAGCGAGCTGAATGCAAAAGTTACCAGGCATAACCGCGGGGAGGTGCCACCGTCTATGCCCGCTTGGAGGTCAACAGCTCCTTCACCAGGAAGGAACTGTCGTCATCCCATCCAAGCGTTTCTTCACGGAGTTGTCTCTCCGGCATTGTTCTTGGAGTATGCTCTCCTTTACCGTTTCGCAGCATTGTCGGTTGAGTCACTGATCACGTCGTTGCATCACTGTCATCATCTTCAGGTTCTGATATGTCGTCGAAAACAACGAAATGTTTAGCATCTGGTCCGAACGTGGTACTGTCGCTGAGCTTGGCTGTCTCTGGCAACTCTCCATAGGCCTTCAGCTTCATTGCCTCCTCGTGGCTGTACTTCATAATTACATCTGCTCTAGAATCCTGGAAGTCCCTGACGCCAATCAGTATGATGTCGCCTTGCTTGATCCAGACTTTGTTCCACCTTAACGTTCCTCGAATTTGGCAAATCCGGCTTCTAGCATCATAACACCAAGCCTCCAGGCGACAACAGCCAAACAGCTTGGTAACTTGTGCGTATTCGGTGCCATCATTTCTGAATACTAACTCTCGATTGCTTTCGGTGCGGACCGCCTTGCGTTGACGACGATTCTTTCCTCCTTTGCCTTTATTCGGCCGCATGGCTGTCACCGAATGAAAGTATGTTCTCGAACACAAGGCACAATGTGCACAACTGAATCTCTCCTTCGTAGCTTCGCGTTACACTGATAGCGATCTAAGAAATTCTGCAAGCAAAACTCTATCCTACACTCCAGTGAACTTGGGAAAAAGAACCCTAAACATGCTGTAAGCTCGCATTTATACCCTTGTTCGCCGCCAGTCACGTCGCAGGGCGCGGGCGATCGAGCTCTGGCGATACACGTGTATCGGTATCTGTGTGGTAGGTCAAGTGTTCAGGCAGTGCTCATAGACATGAGTCATGGCAATGATAAGTATGTGTCGCTGTGTGTAACGGTGGACCCTACTTGACCTGTTGTTCAACGTCATGACCACGTAACCAAAAGTCTCATTGTGATTCACCTTCTTCACGCCGTTCGATGGCTTGGAAGAAACTACGCACTTGAATCGATCCACGAATGGATTCATGGATCGATTCAAGTGTGTAGTCGAACGCACCCAGTGTACTAGCACCCAACTAGTGACGTCACTTCCAATCCGCGTTTACTAGTAAAAGCTGCAGGAACCTCCCAGGAGCAAGTCGACTCGACCTCGCTCCACATCAGGCTGCATTGTCCGCAACGGCATCCAGCAGTGCTCACGCGAGCACTGTGTACAACCAAAGCGTTCTTTTCACGTTTATCTGTTTTGTAGTCTCAGAAATATTACTTGTAGACAGTTTCGCAGACGCTGATGCGCGCTTCGGCTCGAACCTAAAAGGCCTCGGTGTTGCTGAATCCGAAGTGGCGTCCACCTCCACACCTCCCGTGGTCTCCTTTTCCTCCAACATGATGATCGAATGAATACATGTACTAGTACAAGGGTTATTGATTGAAGAAAAAACATTGAATACCTTTTTCAAAATTTACCATTTGAATAAAAAAATTTGGAGCTCACTGAGAACGTTTTACGTCACAGGGTGGGCGGGGCCCCCTCGTGCCAAATATGGAAAATTGCAATTGGTAATTTAGGTATGTTATCCTTGTCGTAGAAGCTTCCGGTTTTCGCCAATAGAGAGGTTTTGCATTCCGAATTTCGGAATGATTTTCGACTGTGCTTTTCCGAAAAAAGCGCGTTCCGAAAAACGGTACTTTCAGTGTTTTGCATTCCGAAAATCTGATTCGACTTCGTTTCCAAGGGTTGCCATGCAAAACAAAAGGGAGAGCGTCGAAGGGGTTGAGCAGGATCAAATCCATGTGCGCAGGTCAAACTGAATTATTTGGGTGCGGTTCGAAGACGAGGACGGACTGATGGAGGACCAAGTGATCCAACAGCTGAAGACGAGGTTGGCGAACTACTGTCTTGTACTGTCAGTAGGCTTCATGGCAAAGGAAGATAGAGTGTGATGGAGTGTGAGAAGATTAGTCAACATGGCGAGATCAGCGAGAGCAGCAAAACCAGCAAAAATCAAAACTACATACATGTACGTGGAAAATTTTTCAAATAATCGAGATCAGCAGAAAGCAAAAATACAAACATGAAAAATACACTTTTTTTGTATTCAAATATGCACTCCCAAACATGAAAGAGCCGAAAATCCATTTTCGGAAAACCATGCACTTTCGCCACCACACTTCCGAAAGCGTTCCATCGAGACTTACACTGATTTTTGCGATCTTTTTCTTGAGAACGATTCTCACCCTGAAATGACTTTCGGCGACTGACGTGAAAGAACACTCATGACACCCACCTCGTCGAATGGAGCATGCATTGTTTGTGGTGTATGGGTGCAGGAAGGTGGTATGTTCGCGAGGTGCATATCGAAAATGATCCGAAAGACTTTGTGATGGTGCCATTCGGCGGATAACATTTGAATTTTTCGTACGATTCAGAGCAGTCGGCGAAAACGAGCCAGTAACCTGAAAGGAGGGCGTGAACAGGTGTAATTTTCGACAATGTGGTTGCCCTCGACCCTGCTCTCGGACATTCGAGTAATGGTTATGGCAAAATCGATGGTGCTCCAGGTTTTTCAGACGCATTTCTTGACCATACTCAATTCCGTAGATAAACCTGTGCACAGAAAGCACACAAGAGTTCAAATTAACTCCACTGTATTCAGTTCACGTGTTTTCCACAGATCCAAAACCCTCCTGGGCCATGGGACCAGGAAAGTGGACAATACGCTGGAGTATAGACGTGCACACTGCGAACACGCCCACGCGCCACTCCTGCACACCCGTGTCGGACATCACATACTGGCCATGTCACGGTGCCGCAGACGTCATGGGCGTGCCCCACACGCTTGCGTTACACACGTTTAGATCCTACATGCACACGTGGAGCACAAACATGTCAAACATGCGTGCCGCGGATGCACACGCATTGTTCGTACATGCCGGATACACTTCGCATACATCACATGTGTGTGCCACACCGTCGGAGGAATACAAACGAGCACTGATACGCACACATGAGAGTACCTCACCAGCAAAGCCTAGTAAGGTTCGCACTCGGTTTCCCTATCAACAATAATTTCTGGCTAGAACAGTGCAGTAGCAATAGCCGAAACAGAGAGAACGCAACACGGGTGGCCGAGCAAGTGACATACAGCATAAACAAGACAAACGTACTTTGTACATTCACATACAGTCAACTTCTCTAATAACCACTGCGTATATAACGACAATTCGCAAATACGACAGAATTTTCATGCCCAGAGCAAAGTGACACACAGCATAAACAAGACAAACGTACGTTGTACATTCACACACTTTTAAAAGTTTGTATACATGTATGTGATTGTATTGATATGCTTTGGTTTTCTTTCCTCAAAGGAGAAGTGACGCGTGCATGGTATATATATATGCATAGACCGTTGAAGTTCGTGTGAATGCATCAGACGCACACATGTACAGGACACTTTGCATTTTTCAAACTGGAACTGTATACATAAGCATGCGTGCGCGTGTGTGTGTGTGTGTGTTTGTTTGTGTGTGTGTGGGGGGGGGGGGGGGGTACGTGTACGTGTGAAGAGCAAAAACCAGTACTGATAAATTGATAATGCAGGCCAAGGAGAGAGGAACGCGAAGCAGACAATCACCTCTACATTGTAATCTCCTACAAATAACACATACATGTACATGTAGCTTCATAAGCAGAAAACGAGATATTGTGAGCGCGACAGACTCACACACACACACAAACACACACACACGCGCACACACAAATACCCCCCCCCCCCCCCCACAGACTAGGGTCCGGCGGATTCTGCCGGCAGAAAATTGGCAGAATTCGGTACTTTTTCTGGTAAGTTTCATGCATGTTTGGTATGTGGATAAAGAAATGGAGCAGAATTCGAGGAATTGCCCGCCATAAGGTTTGTATGGTTCTGCCAATTTCACTGCTTTTCGAGCAGAATCTGCCACCTTTTCGAGCAGAATCCACCGGTCCCTACCACAGACACACACCACGAGACCATAAATCTGAAACGGCATGCATTTTGACACACACACGCACATATGCACACACACACACACACACACACACACACACACAGTCACACACACAACACACACACACACACACACCACGAGACCATACATCTGAAACGGCATGCGTTTCGACGGGCTTTAGAAGGCCACGAGTTAGGTGATCCACATCAAGGCAATACGCACCACCAGCCCAGCTACAAGTACCGATATCTCATACTGTACTAGACAGCAACGGAACGCGGCACACATACTACACACAAGAGCGCGTACAGCGGCAACTTTCTCCTTATGCTTACGGTTGTCGAATACAGCATTGACGACACACCGAGACACACAGAGGAACACAAACTAGGGTCTACAATGTACACACATACAGTACATGTGCATGCACAATGTACATGTATACACAGCTATGCGTTTGCGTGTTTTCATGCTCCCTTCAAAGGTTTATGTATACGGCATGTATGATTTATGTTGCTTGAGTACGCCCACTTTGAAGGTCGAAGTTGGATTATACAGGGCGTGAACAGGTGAGATTTTTATGTCTAGCTGTTAATTACCCTTACCTTAGCCCACCAAGGAAATCGGAATAATCAAACTCGATGGTGCTCCAACTTCATTTCGACGTAGAAAATCCGCTGTTTGAACATCTCAATTTCAAAGGGTAACCACTGATTTCGATGTGAAAAACGTTTCCTGATCGCCATAAAAAAATTCCTGCCGACACACACCATAACAAGCTCCAAGTTCACAAACAGTGGCCACAAACGGTTGCTCGTCATGAAGGTGGTTTGACACTTTCGACCAAATTCGTTCACTTCCGTATTCAGTTGACAATTATTTTTTGCCGTCATCAAGACTGTATTTGGGCCCAAAAGCGCAAAAATCAGTGTAAGTCTCGATTAGTGGCAGAGATATGTTTTTTGCACGCTTGAGGATGGACTGTCTATTCTACCACTTACGACATACTCTAATTCCGCAATAAAAAATGGTGGTGATTTTGGACCGGAGTTTCCCTTTTAAGGCCGATTCACAATACAACTTTCTGCGACGCAACACGCGATTTGCGACAGTTGCGACAAGAAACTGCCTGTCGCGAGCTGTGCCCGTAGAAACTCAGCGCTGAGAATTTCCAACAATTGTCTGCCTTCACAAAGTTTGGTAGTCGACCAAACTACCACTATGTCAGGATAGAAGTCCAGCAAGAGTGGTATCACTTTGGGAGATATCCCTGCGTGCCGTAGATTTTTCCTGTGTCGATACAAGCTGTTTACGACGACGTAGCCCGCATTTCAATCCTTGACAAACTTAGGAACATTTCATTCCGAAAAGTGAACTCCCGAATCTCTAGCATACCATAATATGAAATGCTGATCATCTCAAAGAAGGTAGAGAAGTACTGGTTGATCACAACTGAGGAGAAATTAGTGCCGATCGTGTGGTGTCCTAGAGATTTTTTCGACTTCGAAATTGGTGCACTCGCTTTTCATCTCCAATCGTACACGTATTGTTCTCAAGGAAATCACCTTCGTTCTATTGCTCCATGCCGTCGATCTGGACGAATTTCGGAAGGGTGGTACCTTTCCATATGACGATGACACAGATGTATCACAAGAGCAAAACAAATGCTGTTCCATGAGATGGATAGACCTTTTCACGGAATTAGTTCTTCGACAAATACTCCAGATTGATTCAGCAGATCATCTTTTTTTGCGAAAGAAAAAAAAACAAGCGCGAGGCACCCATCAAAAATCACGATTAGTGGCGTGTCACCTCCCTGTATTTTACTACTCCCTGTTAACATGTTGTGAACCGTGTGTCGCTGTCGCAGCTCGTCGCATGTGTCGCAAGTCGCTTGTCGCGTCGCAGAAAGTTGTATTGTGAATCGGCCTTTACCAATCGAACATGCCCAAAAAAAGAGGGGGGGGGGGGGGGGGATGAAGCAGAACAGTAGCCAAACACACCACGGATAGTTACCGAAAGCACTCGGCAGCAGCAAGGGGGGCGGGGGTGACCACAGAAGCATCAGATCAGAGTCACTACTCTCTGGCGGGCATCTTGAGACCGTGGCCTAGCGCCTGCGGTGACCACGGACTGGCATGGCCATATGGGAGGCACGAACAAGAGAAAAGGAAACCCTTGACCTTATAAAGGCAAGAAGTGAGGAGAAGGGCTCCTTTCTCTTGTCGGCGAGCATAGAGGCGACACGCATATGGGAGTTTTCGCCCTGTACCAGTACGACAAATGTCCGGAGCGTACTTTTCATGTAAACAACTTTTCATGTACGAGGCTCGTATACGCGTACTGTAGTATACTGAATGCGGCAAGTCTCCACAGGGATACCGGGGTATGAGTTTGAATCGAGATGCTTCAATAACAATTCTCAAGAAATAGCTCAAAACGTTCAAAGTCCACTGACTCTGGAAAATAAAAAAACACGGATAGAGTGCATTTTGAATCTGTCGCACGGACTGGCTTGCGTTTTTTCACTTCATCCAGTCCCTCGCCCTGCGTCCGCCGAGCATTTCCTCTCTCTCCACGTGGACTAGATGAGTGTGGAATGGAACTAAGACGGAGACGATGTTTTGTGGCAGCGGTCATCTGCGTTTTCCTGATCTGTACTGGTCTGGCTTCCTGGTGGAAGTATATATACAACGGTGAGAGACTGTTGTGGAATAGATATGGGTACAATGCAGCAGGAGATCCCGCCAGAATACTCACGAAAGTGGAGAAAGAGTTACCAGTCATCGAGTCGTTTCGAATTCGAAAAGGAACATTTGCCTACCTAGTAATGGGAAAGGGAAAGCCCCCTGACATATGGAAACGTTATAGTCTAAACCCAGACGTGTTCGTATTCTACTTGTCATGGGAGGAACAACCACTCACTATGGTGAGGTCATCCAAGTACAAAATGAGTCATCTGTCTGGGAGCTCAACGTGGGCGAGCGGCCGCAACAAGCTACTCTCACTTGCAATTGAAACTGAGCGTGAACAAGGATGGGAATTCGAGTATTTTGTGTTCTGGGACTCAGATGTCCGACTCATCTACAGGCACAATAGGACAAGCTATGATCTCGACAGTCACGAGAAAGCTGAAGGTCACCTCAGGAAACTGATACTGCGTGATCGCCCTGCAAGGGCTGGAGTTCAGTTTCCAGGCTACAGACCGTGGATCACTATCTACGAAACAAATTGTTTGCCGACTTGCAAGTATGATGCATGCGTGGACGCATTCCATCGGACCACTGTTGAGCACGTTCTACCCTACCCGACACAGTTTGACCAGTACAACTGGTGGATGGCGTCGGAGACCGTCTCGTTCCGGAGCGCGGCACTCTTTCCGCAGCAATGCCACATGTACCAGGAAGTGTGTGTTGATCCGCACCTAAATGAGCATGGAGGCTACCAAGCCTTGCCACACTTCCAAGGCAAGGCAATTGGTCAGTACTTGCACTGCTTGGCAAGGGTTAATGCGTCGGCGCAAACATTCATGAACGTCTTTACCCGGGGAGCCACTACAATGGACCCGAGAGACAAAGATCTGTGCAGCGCTGCGCAGCGAGTTGTGGATTACAACGCCAGCATGACAAGTGAACAACGGCGTGCGCGAGCATGCACACTGGACACTGAGTTCCTGTTGCGTGACGCCGCCTAGCAGACTTTATGTGTGCGTTCCAGTGCAAAAGTTATCTATTTTTTTTTCCCTTCCCTGCCTGACCAATTAACTCCTCATAGCTCAGACTTCAATAGTAAAATTATTTAATATTTTTTCACTTTTTACACACAATACAGAGCAATACAATAGAGTGAAACTTAGTATGCAACTTCCTCAAACTGGTCAATAATCTGAAATGCTTGGTATTTTGTTACAGTTGTAGATTGTTGCCATATGTTTGTATTCTAGTTTTACGATTCTTTTTGGCGCAGTATTCGAGTTAAAAATCCGAAATGACATTGTATTCTAGTTACTCATTAGGGAAGCCTCACAACTGTTTCTACATCCGGGTTGTCATCAGGGGTGTCAATCGAAATGTACATCAAATTTTGCTCCCTCATCGCAACATCCAGCAGGAGTTCACTCTGTTTGGTGAACATTTCAAGAACGGTCTTGGGCTACGAGGCTGTCCCCCCTGCGGGTAGGGGCTTTGGACCCCCCCCCCCCCCCCCACTGCGGGTAGGGTCTTTGGAAGCCGGGAAGGTATTCTATATTTGTGCGGCTATGAAAAGGCCCATGAACACCTGGGAAAGGATTTGGTAAATTGGGGCAAATAGCCTATATTTTCATTGCTTCAAAAATCACTAAGTTACTTGTTGGTGCTGCTTTTGCCGCAACTGCTGCACAGGGTCCGACGTCCCGGTGACGGTGAATTGCCACTTCGGCTGCACCAGTTCATCAGCCTAAATTTCAGCGCCATGACGTCACAGTACAGCCAGCTTCTCCAGCGCCAAGAATAATAGGGCGGCAAAGTACTCGTACAGCGCCAGCAGATAAGTCAACTCTTAAAGGGTACATGGCAGATAAGTACTTGTACAGTGCGAAAAAGTACAGCACGATTAATTCAATGCTTGCACAGTCATATTCTAGCCGAAAGGTATATCCGCTATGTATGGGAGAAGACATTTTTGGGTTCGGAAATTTTGCACCACAACATCATGATAATACTATGGGTTGCGCAATGTGATCCGGAATCTCCTGCGTTTTTTCATGGCAATCAAAACCAATCGTATCTCACCTCCCGGGCCTGGCCATCAAGTCGGATTCGCCCCATTGTGTAGAGGCTCTTCAGGCGCGACATCAGGTGGACATGCTTCGGATGGGCATCAACTACGTCATCATGCTTTGTGTTGAGATTACGCCATTATTGGACATGCTTGGTGGTACATTACATCATTGTCAGGCATACCTTGTATGGAATGGTAAAGCGCGGACACCGGGCACCCACTGGTCAGCCAGCTGACATCTCAACACGAAAAGAAACCGACGAAACGCGCAGTCTTAATTTTTTGTTTTTTTTTGTTTTTTTCACTATTGACACAGCCCTACTGGAAAACAGGTGGAGAACAAAAAGAAACGAGGAAAAGGATAAAACATAGGGGATGTAGGGACGACGTGCTGATGTGCTGGGAGCAACTCGACCGACCAGAGGTCCCGGCTTCAGCGTTGCAACAAGGCATCGAAAAATGTGTGTGTGTGTGGGGGGGGGGGGGGTGCACAAGAACAACTGCAGTCTGGTTCTGTTCTGCTTGCGTTGACACGCATACGAAGCTTGATGTTCAAGCCTCAAAGCAAGCTACTGTGCTGTTCAAGGAAACCCGGTCGTGAGTGCCAAGTTTGCGGCCTGCATCAGCTCACATCGGTTCGCAGGTCTACTGGGGCCGCACGGTGCGTGCTTGATTCCTATTATCGCACTTCTCCGAGCACCGTGCATCACGAGTACAGTCATATCACGGATTACAGGATTTTGAAACTCAACGAAAACGTAGCTGTAAGAAAAAAATTCATCAGCCTGACAGGAGTGGACAGCGGACAAACATAACAAAAAATTTTCCGAGAAGTTTTGCAAGAGAAAGTATTAGCTTGTGTTGCAAAGTGTTGCAAAGAAAAAGAAAAAGTGTTGCAAAGAAAATCTCAAGCAGACGGTATAAAATCCATGCACGCAGACGGTTTAAAATCCTCATTGCTGCGCGTGCTGGCGAGCAACAGGAATTGCGCACACGGGGCACGGTTGTGTGATTTGTTACAGAACACCAGTACGATTGTGAGCGGCGCCAAGGCAACTAAGCAGCAGTTAGCTAGCTCAAGTACTACCAGTGCATGGCTACAGTGAGGACAGACGTGTGAAGAGTCACGCCCGATGCTGCTCGCGACTTGAGCGCCGTTGATTCGCTCAGGACCTGCTATCATCTCCGGACGGGCGTAGTGCATGGTACTGTATTGAAAAGCGTTGCTTGCGGACGGAAATCTTACATTCGCTTTGCGTCTACTAATCCTCACACGGGCGTACCGAGGAGGAGTCATCAGGTGGCGACGGACTGATGACTGCAGCAAGCGGAATCCAATGTTTCAATTATAACGTAGTGCTGTGCAGGCCGCCGTAATCGCGTGCCTTTCTTCGCTCCTCCCTCAGAAAGTCGTCGCCAAGTGCGGGGGCCCTGCATTCGCCGTGGTTCCAGTTCGAACTCGGAGGAGAGGCGGGCAGGGGGCGAGGGCCCGAATGGCGTGGTGACGTCACTTGGGTCGCGGGCCGAACCGGGTTGGTTGGCAATCTTGTCGTTCCCACTGTCTGGTAATGAGGCTCCGAGATGCCACCTGTGCTGGTGGGTGTGCGACTCGCTTTGTACGGTCGGACGACTGGCGGCGCCGTCTTCTTCCGCTGCTCAACGTTGGCTGTCATCTCGGCTATGAGAGCATGAGACCCAGCAGAGTTGGTGCCTGCGTCAACACGTCCATGATTGCCCAGGCTGTGTGCTGTGTCCATACCGGTACGGCCGTCCTGTACCGTGCACAGGATCTGCGCCGTGTGCAGGACGGCGTTGCTAGCGCTGGCTGCGGCTTGCGTCGGTGTCCGGCTGCTGTTCTGTTTCGGCACAGGTCCTCCGCTGGGCGGTGTTGTCGGTGAATTCTTGACTGTGGAATCAGTGTGGACAGGTGATTCTTGCGGCGGCATCTGTCGCTGAAAGTGACGCATGTCCGGCCGGCAGAACGTAGCTTCGGGCTCGGCCCGAGGCACGGATGGTGCTGGCTGTATGATTTGTTTCTTTCGCCCTGGCAATGAGTACGAGTTTGGGATGGGTGCTTGCCGCTTCTTGGGCACCTCACCACCAGATTCCGATGGCTGCCACGCGGGCATCGTAGCATATGGGTCATGGCGAGCCATTGAGGACAGCTGGTTCCATTGTGCCGTCTTGGAAGAGACGTCGGAGGAGCTAGGCATCGCCTGGTCTTGGCGTTGGCGCGGCTGGAAAGGGACGGCTGCGTGGCTGGTCGATTTGGATTTCTTGTAGGGCTTGGGCAGCACGCGCGGCCGTGGCAGTGTTGGAGGAGGCAGTGTTGGTGGAGATGGTGTTGTCGGCGGTAGTAGTGGTGGCGGCAGCGGTGGCGGCGCTTCCTCTTGCATCTTGCCATCGCCGTCGCTTCGTTTCACGACGCTGTACCCTTGCTCGCCCTTGAATGAACGCTTTTTCCTGTGACCTGACTGGGTTGCGGTGTTGGCGTTGGTGTTGCCTGCCTGGCCAACACTGCTTCTGCTAGCTTGCAACGTGACATCTAAGTCCCTCACGCCGTAGTGGATATTGCTCTCCTCGTAATCGTGATAGGGATCCAATGCGATACAGTCTTCTTTGGCAACCAAGTCGTTCACTTCGTAGGGAACATCATTCCTATCCGAGTCTTCGTCGTGTTCTAACGGCGCCGCCCTGGACACCATTGTCACGTTCTCCGGCAGTGGAGGCACATGTCCACTGGGTGGTTGTGGTGGTGGTGGTGGTTGTGAAGGAACAGCGGCTTCACTTGCGTCCTTGCTAACATCTGAGCAGATAGCCACACAGATAAAAAGAACAGCATGTTCTGTCATTTTTCTGCTTTTGTTCTGTCAACAGCAGCAGCAACATCAGCAAGAACAGCAACAGGAACAACAGCAACAGCATCAGCCACAGCAGCGGCAGCAAAAGCAGCAGCAGCAGCAACTACAGTAGGAGCAGCAGCAGCAGCAGCAACAACAGCAGCAACTGCACCCTCAGCAGCAACAACAACAACAACAACAACAACAACAACAACAACAACAACAACAACAACAACAACAACAACAACTATGTTGAAATGGTTGAAAGGGAAGAGTGCAAGAGAACAGTGGCCGTGGTTGGAACGTCCTGTGGGCCCCCAAGGAATCGTCGGCCCCATAGGTCCTCCAGGAGCCAGAGGCCCCGTGGGTCCGCGATCAAATCAGAACTTATCCGATCCGTTTCATCTACTGAGAACGCAGCCTACATATATAGTAAAACCTGTGACTAACGACCACCCCTTGGTGCCCGGAAAAGTGGTCTTTAGTGGCAGGTGGTCTTTAGTACAGTCCATTTCAAAACTATAGGCGCGTAGGGTTTTTGAAATATTTCAAATTTGGCTGGACCTTTTTGAGAATAGTTTTCGGAATATTGCTCAGGACCGCTCCACAATTACTCTCATATAGTTTCTAAACGATTGGATAACAGACGCCCAATTTGGAAAAAATTATGCACAAAGTGATCACAGATTTTATGTGGTATAGATGCTGACATAACGGTTTTTGCCTAGGTACGCGTCTATAGTTTTGAAATGGACTGTAGAGGTTTGCACCGCGTGACCATATATGGATCCCATTATATGATATGTATGTCAAAGTGCAGATAATACAATCCCCCACCACTTGCGCACTGTGTTGTGCAACGAGTGCCATATAGTAATACTTGAAGTAAAAGGACTTGAGAACTTGGGCAGGCAGGCACTCGGTGTTTCTAGTTGATTTATTTGTGTTTCGATTTATTTGCATTTATTTGGCACGGCTACGCGGACGCTACTAGTCGCGTACCCTTATGCAGATCGGTCTACTTTTTGAGTGCATGTGGTGTCCTTATTTTGATGCATGTAGATTAGTGCAGTACGGTGGTTTTGTTTGCGCTGCTGCGGGTGCGCTGTAGGTGCACTTGTACGTGCACGTTCGGCTGAGGAGAGCGTTTGGGCTTTCGCTTGCGCTGCTTGGTTATTCGATGTTTTCCTTTTCTGGTTGTTGTTGTTCCTTCCGTGATGAACGGATAGTCTTTCTTTCTCTCTTGTTTCACCTATATTCATATTTCTTGCAATGTAAAATATCACCCCACTGGTTTGTGTGAGCTTGTAATCGGTTGGACCATATTTTGGCGATCACGCCAGGATAGACGCTGTGTTGGTCCCGTGGCGCTGACAGAAAATGGCCACGAAGCTCAAGGAGATAACCAGCGAGGAAAAAGGATGCAAGACAGAGTCCGCGGGGGAACTGCTATTGGAAGAGCGGTTTCTGAGAGTTGGGCAGGCCCTGGGGTATGAAGGGGAACAACTCGCGCAGTACGTGGACAGTAAAGTGGCAGAGACAAACGATCGAGAGGATCGTGCCAGGGAACGGGAGGCGGTGCGCACGCTGCAGGAGCATACGCAGCGGATGGCCGAACTAGAGGCGCAGACCGAGCGCTCTCGACTGGAGGCTGAGCGCGGACCCACGACGAATAGTGTGAACGTGGAGGAACCGACAACCCCGCCGAGGAACCGGATAAAGTTTCCGAAGTACGAGGAGCGAAAAGCAACGGAGATCAAGGAATACCTAAGTCTTTTCGAGGATATTGCTCAGCAAAATCGGTATAGCAGAGACGATTGGCTAATTCACCTGCGTGTAGCGTTCTCTGGGAGCAAGCTGGAAAAGGCGTTCTCGGGATGTGCCTCGTACGACGAAGCGAAAAGGGAAGTGCTGCTGGCGCACGGACTGACCGCGGACAAGGTGTGGCGAGATGCCAAGTCCATTACGCAGCTCGACGAGTCGTTCCATCATTATGTAACAAGAGTAGCAAGGCTGCTCGACTCGTGGATAGAGCTGACGAGTACTGCCAACGCAGAGGCTGAGGACGATGAAGCGCCTGACGTACTTGCAGTATTGGTCAAGCAGCTAGCATTGGATGGATTGCCAGCCGAGATGAAAGCGTTCCTGATTGAACGAAAATGCTTCCACATGGACATGCCCACGTTCCAGGCAACTGGTGTCTCATATCAGGAGGCGCACGGACGGCGGAAGGCAGCTGAGAAACGGCCCGTCGCTCCACCAGTCCAACACAGTGCGCAGTGCCTTGGGGTGTCAGTGGAGCAAGCCAAGAAGGATTTGGCTAAGATGGGAAAAACGTACGACCGCAGAGCATACGTACGCAATGAAAAGCTGTGCTACCTCTGTTTGCGTGGGGGTCACCTGGCAGAGCAGTGTCAGGCCAACACAGGTTGCAGCAAGTGCGATGGCAAGCACCACACGTTGCTGCATGGGAAACCAAAGCCTAAACCCGCCAAGGACCGGGATGAGAGCATCAACACATACAGTTGTACCACATCGGTCACCTAGGGTAGAACGGTTGTGGCAGTTGGAGGAGCCACCAAGCGTAACGAGCCACCAGCCTGAGTTCCCCATAGAGCAGGTGGGGACGCAGTACCAAGTGGGGCTGTTATGGAGGTCTGACCGCCGACCACCTGAAAATTACACCCAAGCTATGGCAGCAGCTACCAAGCTGATGGATCGGCTGAACGTCAAGGGCAAGAGGCAGCAGTATGACAACGTGCTCATGAGAGAGTACAGCGAGCTAGGAGCTATCGAAAGAGAGCCGAACCCCGAACAGCCCGGCTACTACATGCCACATCATGCCATCTTCAGGGAGCACGCCGCTACGACCAAGACAAGGGTAGTCTTCAACGCATCGGCATCGGCAACTGGGAAGTCATCATTGAATGACCTGTTGAACCCAGGACCATCGCTACTACCCGATCTGGTGGGCCTTCTCCTACGGTTTCGTGAGTATCAGTTTGCACTACAAGCGGACATTAGGAAGGCTTTTTTCATGATAGGCATTAGAGAAGAGGATAGGCCATATTTGCGCTTTGTGTGGCCCGAGCTGGGCGAAAGCGAAATGTGTGTTTGGCGGCTCACGAAATTGCCATTCGGAGCCAACTGTTCCCCCTTCATTCTGAATGCTGTGTTGTTGCACCATTTAGATAGGCTGCTTGCATGCGCTAATGATGCTGATCGTGCTATGCTTGCGCTGTTACGTGATAGTTTTTATGTTGATGATTCAGTAGTTAGTGTGTCTAGTCCTGCCCAAGCCGACCACTTTCGAGAGTGTAGTGTGGTAGCTCTGCAAGGTGCAGGCATGGATCTGAGAAAGTGGCGTGGCAACAACATCGTCTGTGATCCGGAGTCTGGCGGCAAGGTGCTAGGGGTCGAGTGGGACGTCGACGACGATGTGATCGCGGTAGCAGCAGTAGGTGACACTGACACCAAGGAGTCACCGTGGACCCGGCGGCAACTTCTGCACTGCGTAGCATCTGTATTCGACCCGCTTGGTCTAGCTGCACCTGCGGTACTACCAGGGAAGATCCTGTTGCAAGGGTGCTGGAAACTGGGTGGCACCTGGGATCAGCCGCTTCCGAGTGAGATTGCAGCCAAGTGTGCGCAATGGTGGGGAGATGTCTCCAATGTTTCGCTTGTGACGGTGCCACGTTGGATCGGCGGTAAGCCCGACATGCCGGTAACACTACATGTATTTGCTGATGCGTCAGAAAAGGGTTATGGCTGCTGCATTTACATCGTAGTTGACGGTGTAGCATGTCTGCTGTGTGGGAAGAGCAAGGTGGCACCAGTGTCGGCGCCAACATTGGCTCGCCTGGAGCTGGAAGCTGTGTGCCTCGCCTCCAGGTACCTCTCATTCGTGTGTAAGGAGTTGAGAGTGCAAGCAGAGCGGATTTTCGGTTGGACCGATAGCCTCACGACGCTGCAGTGGATTACGAACCCATCCTACCGTTGGAAGACATTCGTGGCTAATCGAGTGGTAGCTGTACAGCAGACTGCGAAGGAGCTAGATGTGAAATGGAGTCACTGTCCGGGAGTGCAAAACCCGGCTGACCTTGCATCACGCGGTTCTCCCGTGGGTAGTCTTGAAAGTAGTGACTGGCTGAAGGGACCAGCCTGGTTGACGAGGCCAGAAGAATGGCCAGACACGCAAGCCAACACCGACACGAGTGAATCGGTCACGGAAATGCGAGTTGGAGTCGTGACAGCGGAGCCACAGAACCCCTGGTGGGAGCGTTTGTCAAGGTGGACCCGGGTAACCGGAGTTGTTGTTCGCATGTTGCAATGGCGATATCCAACTAAGACGCGGGCGGAGATCCTGCCCATTGCTGAGGCCAGATTGTACCGACTGATCCAGCAGGAACTGTTCGGACCGGAGTTGGCTGCACTGCAGAATGGCGAGCCGCTCAGCTCAAGTTCCAAGATCGCTAAGTTCGGCCCGTATGTGGATGACAGTGGGGTCCTGAGAGCTGAAGGAAGATTGAGTGAGAGTGAGCTGCCGTACAGCGCTAAGCATCCGGTATTGCTCGGCAAGCACTACTTGACATCGTTGATTCTGGAGCGGGCCCATGCGAAGCAAATGCATGGAGGCGTAGAGACGGTCCTGGCATCACTACGTCAGGAGGTGTTAGTGATTGGTGTTCGGCGCGCCTTACGCGGCATTGGATCTCGGTGCGGAGTCTGCAAGCGTTACAAGGCGGCCGCTGCTACCCAAGTTACACCACCACTGCCGGCGGACCGTGTGAGTCATGTCAAGCCATTCGGACTGACAGGCATTGATTATGCGGGCCCATTGATGGTTCGTAAGGGTGACCGAGTGGAGAAAACATGGATTGCTCTATTCGTTTGCGGAACAACGCGGGCAGTTCATCTAGAGACAGTCGACAGTCTGTCCACGGAGTCATTTCTGCTGGCGTATCGGCGGTTCGTAGCACGCCGGGGTATCCCCATCCGCATCCGTTCGGATAATGCCACTACCTTCAAGTCGGCATCGGAGAAGATCAATGTTGTATGGTTGTTCAATCCTCCAGCGGCTCCATGGCATGGTGGATTCTTCGAGCGTCTGGTTGGAGCTGTGAAGGCACCATTACGCAAGGTGTTGGGCAAGGCGATGCTTGGTCCGCGTGAATTGGATACTGTATTGGCTGAAGTGGAAGCAGTGGTGAACAGCCGTCCGCTCACCCAGGTGGCAGACACGGATGATGACTTACCCCTGACGCCAGCAATGATGATCAATGGTGTTTGGCAGGCAGACGAGATCAGCGCCGAACAAGCAGCAGGGCTGACGGCAGAGCAGCTCAACGCAAGACAACGGTATGTTGCTACAGTTGGCGAACACCTGAAGAAGCGATGGCAGAGGGAGTACCTGACCAGCTTGATAGCGTATCATCAGTCTAAGTCATCCTCAGTCAAAGCAGGGGAAGTTGTCCTGCTGGTGGATGAATCACGAAAGCGTCAGTTCTGGCGTTTGGCTCGGGTTACTGAGGTGTACCCTGGGAAAGACGGTGTTGTGCGTGTGGTGCGAGTCAAGGTTGGGCAAACGTCTTTGCTCCGCCCAGTACAGCGTTTGGTGCCACTAGAAGTATCTCCGACGGCAGGAGAAGTGGCCAGTAGTGACGATGAAACTAGCACCGACGAAGCAGTGGAGATTCCACCGCCAACGTCACCCCCTCAACCAGATCCACAACCTGTTGCAGCAGACAATGAAGTGCGTACTACCAGAACCGGTCGCAGCGTCCGTGCACCAACCCGGTTAGATTTGTAATCCCCAGGAAGTCCTTTGGTGGGGAGTGATGTTGTGCAACGAGTGCCATATAGTAATACTTGAAGTAAAAGGACTTGAGAACTTGGGCAGGCAGGCACTCGGTGTTTCTAGTTGATTTATTTGTGTTTCGATTTATTTGCATTTATTTGGCACGGCTACGCGGACGCTACTAGTCGCGTACCCTTATGCAGATCGGTCTACTTTTTGAGTGCATGTGGTGTCCTTATTTTGATGCATGTAGATTAGTGCAGTACGGTGGTTTTGTTTGCGCTGCTGCGGGTGCGCTGTAGGTGCACTTGTACGTGCACGTTCGGCTGAGGAGAGCGTTTGGGCTTTCGCTTGCGCTGCTTGGTTATTCGATGTTTTCCTTTTCTGGTTGTTGTTGTTCCTTCCGTGATGAACGGATAGTCTTTCTTTCTCTCTTGTTTCACCTATATTCATATTTCTTGCAATGTAAAATATCACCCCACTGGTTTGTGTGAGCTTGTAATCGGTTGGACCATACACTGACATCCTTCTTTCAGATCATACAGCACTTGGAGAGAGAGAAAATCAAGTGTTATTGCAGACATTAAATTCAGCTCCTACTTCTGAAGCCAGGAGTCAAGAGTTCCCTGTTGAAGCTTCTCTTTGCGCTGGTGTGTACCAGTACTCCATCTACATGTACGTGATGCGGCGATGTTGCGAGTTTTCGCACCTTCTCTGTTTAGACTATAGTATCCGCCATCGTATCCTGGCCTGTGTTCCGTACAGCCTACAGGTGAGTACATAATACCGTAGCATGCTAGCCAGCCAGCACAGACTGTCAGTGTGACCTGGTGACTGAGATTAGGACAGGTGTAGTGCAGTCCACACTGATTCCACAGTCAAAATGAGACTGCGTTCATTTGTCCAGCTGTAGTATCGAAACAGTCCTTTCAGGACCATGGAAAATCATCAACATTTCGAGAAGGAGCTTCGAGCAATGTTTGATTTCCTACATCGCGGTCGCTAGTTACGGGTCAAAATTCGACATTGGGACAAGAAAAGGCGGTCGCTGGTCGCGTTCAGCAGGTAGTCACTAGTCACAGTGCATTTTGAATGTGAGACCGTCCGTGCCTGATGAAGTGGTCGGTAGTACCAGGCCGGTCGCTAGTCACGGTGGTCGTTAGTTACAGGTTTTACTGTAAGGCAAGGGATATATACGGATACACCAGCAACACCAGCAGCAAGAGCAGCAAGAACGGCAGCAACAGCAGCAGCAGCAACAACAGCAGCAGCAGCAGCAGCAGCAGAGGCAACGACAACAGTAGCAGCAGCAGCAGTAGCAGCACCAGCACCAGCAACAGCATCAGCAGCAACAGCAACTGCAGCAACAAACACTGCAGCAACAGCAGCAGCAACAGCAGCAGCAACAGCAGCAGCAGCAGCAACGGCAGCAACAGCAGCAGCACCAACAGCAGCAAAAGCAGCAGAGGCAACAACAGCAGCAGCAGCAGCAGCAGAGGCAACGACAACAGTAGCAGCAGCAGCAGCAGTAGCAGCACCAGCAACAGCACCAGCAACAGCATCATCATCAGCAGCAACAACAACTGCAGCAACAGCAGCAGCAGCAGCAACAGCAGCAGCAGCAGCAACAGCAGCAGCAACAAGAGCAGCAGCAGCAACGGTAACAACAGTAGCAGCAACAACAGCAGCAATAGCAGCAGCAGAGGCAACGACAACAGTAGCAACAGGAGCAGCACCAGCACCCGCAACAGCATCAGCAGCAGCTATGGCAACATCATCAGCAGCAGAAGCCGACACACCAGCAGCAACTGCAGCGGCAACAGCAGCAACAGTAACAACAGCAGACACAATAGCAGCACCAGAAGCTGCAGCATCAGCAGCAGCAACAGAAACAACAGCAGCAAAAGAAGCAGCAGCAATAGCAGCAACAACAGCAGCAACAGCATCAGCAACAACAGTGGATAGCAGGAACAACGATAACAGCAGCGACAGCAGCTGCAACAATAGCAGAAACCTCAGCAGCATCAGCAACAACAGCGGGAAAAGCAGCAGTAACAAAAACAGCAGCAGCAGCAGCAGCAGCAGCAACAACAGCAGCAGCAGTAGCAGCAGTAGCAGCAGTCCCAGCAACAACAGTGGACAGCAGAAGTAACAATAACAGCAGCGACAGCAGCTGCAACAGCAGCAGAAACCTCAGCAGCAATGCCAGCAGCAGCAACGTTAGGCGAAATAGCACGTCATAGTACATTTGAGATCAGCGGGAAGAAGATGACGACGTCCACTAATTTAGTATCTGTGCACACGAATCTGCTGTGTGTGTGACTCTGTGTGTCAGCTATGATATCATCCCCTGTGGTTCCATGCCTAGCATGTACGTCTGAACTATCCTGCAAAGTTTGAATGGCGTAGGTTGAGCGATCGCTCCGCAAAACAGACTTTTTGAAATTGTCTTCATACTATATCTTCCACCATTGAAATTTCGAATTTCTTGCTGAGAGGGGTGGCTTGCAACCTCGACATGGCTTGTTCCAGGCATGCTTTGGAGCCATCCCCTGTTGAAGTAGTGGCAGAGATCTGCCCTGCAACTGCTACAACAAAAAAATGATTCGATCTGAGAAAGGGTGAGACCGCGAATCTCGGTTGAATATTGAGTATTTCAAGCCTTTTCACGACGAAGATGGAGTTCTTTTTGGAGATGGACGTCGCGGCAAAGGACATGGTGTCCGACTTCTGGCGTCTGGTGAAGCCAGGAATCATTTGTCCAGTCAGGTCGGCAGCCTAACCGTCGGTAAGCTTGTGTTTGGATCCCGTTCTGTTCGATGTGGTAGATCACAAACAATTTGATATCGCACAAATTGATCTCAGCATCATGCGTATGGTATTTTATATTCAGAAAATCCCAAAGTGTCTCTGTGTGGCCGTCCTATGCCACGAGAAACTCCAATCAGGCTCCTATGTCCTCTGCCTTCATGATTGAATGTCCACTTCGTTTGAACAACGAACACAACAATCGAGGACGGCTTTGCAATGAAAAATACAGCTATACTGGTGCTGATAAAAAAGTAGAAGAAAAACGTGCTCAGGATGAGAATCGAGTACACGCATACTCTCCCAGCAGGTGAAACGCAAATTTTTGTGAAAAATGCGTGTCGCCGACTGACCAGTAATTTCGCCTAACGGCAGAGGTAAAAGCACCAGCAACAAAAGCAGCAGCAGCAATAGCAGCAACAGCATCAGCAGCAGCAATGGCAGCAGCAATGGCAGCAACAGCAGCAGCAACAACAGCAGCAAGAGCAGCAGAGGCAACGACAACAGTAGCAGCAGCAGCAGCAGCAGCAACAGCAGCAGCAACGGCAACAGCATCAGCAGCAGAAGCCGACACACCAGCAGCAACAGCAGCGGCTACAGCAGTAGCAGTGGCAATAGCAGCAACAGCAACAACAGCAGCCACAATAGCAGCACCAGCAGCTGCAGCAGCAGCAGCACGAACAGCAGCAAAAGAAGCAGCAGCAATAAAAACAGCAGTAGCAGCAGCAGCAGAAGCCGAACCAGCGGCAGCAGCAGCCGAAAGGCGATGACGTCAACAATCAACACAGGTGCAGGAAATACAGCAGCTTTAAACGGGCATTCAAAACACCTGCTACTTACGTAAATCAGCCACCACGTCTTCATAGATCATCTCCCAGTCATCGCCGTGCGGGCTGTCACATTCGGCTACATTGTTGCCAGCACTTGCGTTGCCATTTCCGCCTGGGTGTCCGAGATGCTTGGCACTGACGGAGTGGTCCGCGTCCGTGTCCTTGGCCATGCTGGGTGGATAGTATGCCTGCTGCCCGCGTTCATTAACCGGATACAGGTAGTCACCATCGTTGTCATGGTTACGGGCCGCGACGATCTCATCCTCATCGACATACTCGCAGGTCGACGAGGATCTGTCGCCCTTGGTCCCCTTCTCCTTCGCCCAGTCTTCCATGAGTTCATACTCGTCGCCGAGCAACTCGTCTGTTGGTGGCATGGGCTGTTGTCGTGGTAGCGATGCAGATGATCCAGCATGCCGGCTTTTCGGGGGCAGGAACTCTCCGCTTCTTTCCATGAGCGTTTCCAAGTGATCGATATCATTTAAGACGAGCGAGAAGCCTCGGGATTTCCCGCCAGAGCTGTGGACGCCGCTGGTCGGTTGCGTCGGCACAAATGGTGGCTGTGGGTTTGCCAGTGGGCTTTCACCGGGCACGACGACATTCTGCTCCAGTTGCATGTAGTCTTCTCTTGGCTCAGTGTCGGCACATTCGTAATCTGGTGCGGAGAAGAGCGACAGGTTAGTGGACGCGGATGTTGGTGTCGATGAAGTTGTTGCGGTATCGGCACGTGAGTGAAGAACGTCACCGCTCCTGACACTTGTCTCCATGGGAACAGCTGCCATTTCTTCATAGTCGTCATGGCGCTCGTCGTCATGGTCATCGTCAAGGCGTGAGCGGGTCATGTGACCCTGCAGTGTCGATGATTGCGGCGAGGCTGGTTCTCGCCTGGCAGGGCTCGTCGGCACAACCCCATGCGCTAGGTGCTGCACGAGTGGACTGCCGGCCTTGGGCGCGCTGGGAGACTTAACACTGGACGACAGCGGTGGTGGATGTCCGCGTGGCGACGGGGGTATGAACACGGTTGGCTGCGGTCGTGTCGCCTTGACAACTGTCGGCGGCGAGCTTAACTCTCCGTGCTCCGTAGGGCTAGTGGGAAGGCGACGCGGGAACTCTCCTACAGTGTGTCGTTTATGAACGACCTTCGGTGCTGACGGTGGAGGACCGTCTGGCCTCGGCACTGAAGCAGTTCGCGGAGAGCTTATGTCTTCATGCTTAGTAGGACTTGTGGGAAGATGACGCTGAACGCCCCCTGCCGAGTGTCGCTTATGAACGCCTTTCGGTGCGGGCGGTGGTGGCCCATTCGGTTTCGGCATTGTCTTCGGTTTGGGCTTGGGCCGACTTTGCTCTGTCTTTGGTCCAGACCTCCTTGCCGCTCTCTGGTTAACAGCATCACCTGGTTTAAAACGAGGCAGATCTACCGTGGACGCAATCGGCAGGGATGGAGGTCGCGAGTGCTGTCTCGCCGCGGGGCTCGGCTTGGAGTCGGCTGAGTGTGAATGTGAGGGGACCGCGGGCAAGGGGTGTTTATCCTTCCTACCAGGCGTGAGCGGATCTGGCTGTGCCTTTGACAGCGGTAGTGACTGCAGCCGAGCGCACAGGTCCTCGACGAAAACACCATTATCACCGCCGCCTAGTTGTGCATGAGAGGAGGGCTTTGACGAGGTGTCGGTCCGATTGGGACTGGCCACTGGTGGACTAACGGGAGGTGATCGAGTAGGTCTGGACGGCGACTGCGTTACAGCGCCCTGATTTAGCATGGCGGTGCCTCCACCGCCGGCCCGTTTCGCCCTTGGCGGCGGGGGCGGCTGTATGACTGGTCGCTGGGGACGCCTGATCGTCGTCACGCTAGGTTGTAGAAGCGCCGGTGAAGAGACCGTCCTGAACGAAGACGGTAGAGAGGCTGTCTTCTTGGCCAGCAGCTCTGGGGCTGTGTACTCGTACACGCGCTTTCCGTCCTTTAGGAGCGATTTACGATCCAGCTCCGCCAACGCTGCATTCGTACTCGTCACGGTTTCTGCGATAAACAAGACAAAAGAGTCACATGTGAACAAACACAACTCATATCAGGAACAAACATGTGATCACCCCCCCCCCCCCCCCCCCCACACACACACAGACCCCCTCCCCCCCCCCCCCCCCCACACACACACAGACCCCCCCCCCCCACACACACACAGACCCCCCCCCCCCCCACACACACACAGACTACAGAAGACGCTACTATACCACGAATGGAGCATACCTGGCCAGTTTATGATGTAAGTGTGACGCTGCGATTCACCGGTTGCCGAATAGTACTCCAGGAGGGGAGCAGGCCTCATGTAGAACATGTAATCGCGTATGAAGTCCAGCACACATCTCATCTCCACTATCTCCTGCACTGGACACTGCAGATTGATCCAAGTCTGAACTGGATTCTCGCCATCTGTGCACAGTAGTCCATAGGAAAGTCAGAAGACAAACACACAAACACACGCACGCCGCACGCACGCACGCACACACACACACATACACACACACACACACACACACACACACACACACACACACACATGAACACGCATGCCCTCAAATACGCACACAAATACACATAACTGCTTTTGCAGCAGTTGAGCACTCTCGTGTGGGGTAGTGCCTTTGCTCTTTGCGCTATGCAGAGCTCACTGATGTATCAGTTTGAGCACTCTGGCAAGGTACGCTCGGGCCTGGTTTAAATCTGGCTATGGAAAATTGTATTTTTCATTGCTATCAGGTCCGGCCTCGTTTTCTCCGTGCTGCGCTGATGAGTCCACAAAGGACGAAACAGTTCTGTCCGCAGATCATGCAAATACACATACGCGTGCACACATGCATGATTCCCTGCATCACAGTGCTAGAGACACTACAAATACGATTAGACTTTCTTTGTACCTGTTTGTAGTGCCTCCCGGGATCAGTATTTCCACTTGAAATGATATTCACCAAAATGCCTCATTCTTAGCATTCTTCTATTCGCTTCCATGTAATCGGGCGTATCGCCCGTTTGGTATTGCGCATTCAAATAAAAAGAAACAACAAACAACAACAAATACACCATGACCCTGAAAGGGGGACAGGCAACGACCTCCTGCTTCTGGGCGTTCTTGAATTCTGAAAATGTTAAGCTCGTTTTTTTTCTTCGTTTTCTCACATGCTCAGCTAAGCACAGCACTTTGTTCGAATGCAGTTCTGTTACCGTATATTCCAGAGTGCACGCCGCACTATATACACCAGCAATTCACCCAAGGAAAGCTGACGAGGCTCACAGTATTCTGGGCAATCAACTGTGATAATCACGGTAGATGTTTGTATTGCGTGACAAAAGACCTGGGTGCGGCTTCTACTCCAGTGCGGATTATAAGGTTACTCCGGAAGTACAGTATTTAACTGACCGGTATATCGTTGAGAGACAATTGTCATTATGCCTGTTGTGTGATGCTAGTACTCTATCTACTCACATACATGTATTCTGCTTCAAACGAAAATCCGGTGGAAAAAAGAGTGATTTTTAAAAATGTCTCTTCTCATGAGTTTCATGCTGAAAAGTACTCATCAGAAGATCCCTGATGATTGCTTTTCAGCATTAAACCGAAAAATGAAAGACATTTAATCACTTTTTGTTCCACCGGATTTTCGTTCGTACTAAGCTCTGGACGCCGTGTATAGAGCACTGCGAACGGTAGCCAAGGTTTTTCTGTGTACTCTGCTTCATGCACTGGCCACTCTGGTTTCTCTTCAAGAGTACAAGACCAGAACAACAACAATAACAACCAATCCGGAGCATTCACAGTACGTACCATGAAAATCACAACCTGCATACACAACACAGGGGTGTCGGAAGGTATTTTAGTGTGCTACTGTCAGCCATCTGAAGTGCAATTTACTGGTGGGGGAGTGGTGGCTGAGCTGAAAATTGTGTGATTTTAAATCCCCGATCAGTCTACTTTATTGATTCACAGGACGGGGTACCTCGGGCAAAAGTGGTACGGTCAATACCGTAGTGACCGTACCGTGCCCGACGTCCCTGCAACAATGCCGGTGCTCATGCCTGTCATCTCAACTAACCGTTAAATCGTTGATAGACAATTGTCACCGTGCCTGTATTCAGGTCTGCGTCCAGCATCTGTATGCCCATGTACGGCAAGTCCAACAACTGCTTGCCGCTACGTTCGTCGGCGAGAACGAACGACGCTTGCACGTAGGCGATGGCGTCACATGGTGGAACGGACGAGCAGTCGGCCACGCGCACGTAACACTGCGGAAAGCACAAGATACGAGCAAGATGAGAATTTGTGTGTGTTTGAATGTTGTTTATTGTATTTGTATATACTGTAGTGTCACGTAAAAAGCATGACCTGTATAGAAGCATGACCTGTATAAAAGCATGACCTGTATAGAAGCATGACCTGTATAAAAGCATGACCTGTATCGAAGCATGACCTGTATAAAAGCATGACCTGTATTGAAGCATGACCTGTATAAAAGCATGACCTGTATAGAAGCATGACCTGTATAAAAGCATGACCTGTATCGAAGCATGACCTGTATAAAAGCATGACCTGTATTGAAGCATGACCTGTATAAAAGCATGACCTGTATTGAAGCATGACCTGTATAAAAGCATGACCTGTATTGAAGCATGACCTGTATAAAAGCATGACCTGTATAGAAGCATGACCTGTATAAAAGCATGACCTGTATTGAAGCATGACCTGTATAAAAGCATGACCTGTATTGAAGCATGACCTGTATAAAAGCATGACCTGTATTGAAGCATGACCTGTATAAAAGCATGACCTGTATAGAAGCATGACCTGTATAAAAGCATGACCTGTATTGAAGCATGACCTGTATAAAAGCATGACCTGTATAGAAGCATGACCTGTATAAAAGCATGACCTGTATTGAAGCATGACCTGTATAAAAGCATGACCTGTATTGAAGCATGACCTGTATAAAAGCATGACCTGTATAGAAGCATGACCTGTATAAAAGCATGACCTGTATTGAAGCATGACCTGTATAAAAGCATGACCTGTATTGAAGCATGACCTGTATAAAAGCATGACCTGTATAAAAGCATGACCTGTATTGAAGCATGACCTGTATAAAAGCATGACCTGTATTGAAGCATGACCTGTATAAAAGCATGACCTGTATTGAAGCATGACCTGTATAAAAGCATGACCTGTATAGAAGCATGACCTGTATAAAAGCATGACCTGTATTGAAGCATGACCTGTATAAAAGCATGACCTGTATTGAAGCATGACCTGTATAAAAGCATGACCTGTATTGAAGCATGACCTGTATAAAAGCATGACCTGTATTGAAGCATGACCTGTATAAAAGCGTGACCTGTATTGAAGCATGACCTGTATAAAAGCATGACCTGTATAGAAGCATGACCTGTATTGAAGCATGACCTGTATTGAAGCATGACCTGTATAGAAGCATGACCTGTATAGAAGCATGACCTGTATAAAAGCATGACCTGCATTGAAGCATGACCTGTATAAAAGCATGACCTGTATAGAAGCATGACTCGAATAGAAGGCGATTTTTTTGAAGCGCGTCGTGACACAGAAGCATGGTTTGAATAGAAGCCGCTCTCTGCAACGTTCATGTGCGCGTACATGCATGGCAGTATGCACTGCACAGTGCAGACTGATGATGTTGACATAGAAGCATGTCTCGAATAGAAGCATAAATTGAATAAAAGCAGGGTTTGAACCCCGGCGTATGTGGCCGTAAGCACCTGCTTTTATACGCGACATTGCAGTATATGGATTCTCCGCAGGCTTTAGCCTAAGTCGAGGGAGTCTGTGTGTGCGTGTGTGTGTGTGTGTGTGTGCAACAATGGATCCGTGAGGTGGTCGGTGATGCTGAGCGTGCTCAAAGGGATGGCTGTGTGAGGTGGAAATGCATCCGAAAATTGCAGCGAGTGGATGATGGCAGGCGTACGGTCACACCCTCGGCGGTTTATGATGGAGACGGACACCTTACTGACAGCCCGGAAAGTCTTGTTACGCGTTGGCATGCACACTTCGACAGAGTGCTCAACATTGCTAGTCAGTTTAGTATGCATGTCATTGATAACATGCCTACTGCTGAGCCGCGTCATGAACTTGACATGGCCCCGACATTTGAGGAGGTGATGGCTGCAATGCGGAGGATGAGTAGGGGCACGGCTGGTGGCTCGTCAGGTATTGTGCCGGAATTGGTGCTGGGTGGCGGTCTTGCTCTCCACCGGCGTATTCATTCTCTGATTTCCCAGATTTGGGCAGGTGGCTCCGTTGTTTCTGAGTGGCGCGACGCTGAGATTGTACCCATACCGAAGAAAGGCGACCTACGGTCATGTGACAATTGGCGAGGCATCAGCCTGTTGGATGTAGTCGGTAAGCTGTTTGCACGGGTTATCCAGGATCGCCTTCAGGAACTGTCCGAGGATGTGCTGCCTGAGTCACAGTGCGGTTTTAGGAAGGGACGTGGGTGCGTCGACTTGGTGTTTGTGGCGCGCCAGCTAATCGAGAAGGCCATCGAACATGATACGCCACTGTATGTCATATTTGTCGACCTGAAGAAGGCTTATGACAGCATACCTCGTGAGGCGTTGTGGCTTGTCCTCGGGAAGCTCGGTATTCCACCTACCCTTCTCAGCCTGATTCGGTCCCTACATGTCGGCATGAGGGCTCGGGTTCGTATATCTGGTCGCTTGACGGAGGACATATATGTTAACAATGGTCTTCGCCAAGGCTGTACTCTTGCCCCCACCCTATTCAATCTGTATTTTGCTGCCGTAATGTCGTCTTGGCGTTCCCGCTCTTCTGTTCCCGGCGTGTCCCTGCGCTCACGCCCTGGCCGGAAGCTTGTTGGGGATCGAACAACCAAGGCACGACTGAACACGTACCAAGTCACCGAGTCCCAGTTCGCTGATGATGCCGCTGTATACACCACATCAAGAGAACATCTGGAGACCCTGGCAAACGAGTTCATCGCCTGTGCCTCTCAGTGGGGTCTCACTGTCAGCATCGCCAAGACAAAGGCCATAGCAGTCGGCCCGGGGGACCTACAACCTGATGTCGTCCTCGATGGTGGTGGGGTTGTGGAGATGGTCTCCGGCTTTACTTACCTCGGTAGTGTGGTGAGTTGCGATGGGTCACTGGACGTGGAGATCACCTCCCGCTTGGCCAAGGCATCTCGTGTGTTTGGTTGCCTCCTGACCCCGATTTTCCGGTGCCGGGGTTTATCCATCGGCATTAAGTGCATGGTATATCGCGCTTTTGTCCTGAGCACTCTGTTCTACGGTGCAGAGACATGGGCTGTGAAGGCTACCCACGTCCATCGGCTGACCGTCTTCCATCGCTCCTGTATTCGGTCTATCCTCGGTGTATCGCGGATCCAGCAGTGGGAGGACAGGCTCACATCGGCAGAATTGGGCAGGCGATTTGGCATGTCTCTTGACATCTCCGATTTGCTCCGACAGCATCGTCTGCGCTGGCTGGGGCACATTGCCCGTATGGAGGAACACCGCACTCCGCAGCAGATGGTATTTGGCGAGTTATATGCCACTCGCCCCCGCCACGGTCCGAAGAAGCGATGGCGTGACGTTGTTTTCACTGATCTAGCTGCGGCACAGATCGGAGAGGGAGAATGGTTCCATCAAGCCCAGGATCGCCCAACCTGGAAGCGGTTGTGTCGTCAGCAGCCTCCTCCACCCGGACCGAAAGAGTTCCGTTGCGCATGTGGCCGTCCCTTTGGCCGCATTGGGGACCTGAAGAGGCACGCCCCCCACTGCCGCGTCTGAGCCATCATCGCTACGCGATGGGCGTCCAAGGTCCAAGGTGTGTGTGTGTGTGTGTGTGTGTATGTGTGTGTGTGTGTGTGTGTGTGTGTGTTTGTGTGTGTATGTGTGTGTATGTGTGTGTGTCTTTCTTCTCTTTCTCAGACTCTTCCTGACTTTTCTTTCATTCTCCTGGGTGGTTACCAACAGCCAGTGCATGCCGGAGTATGTGGTGTGATGTGTGTGCGGGGACAAAAAATGAAAAGACCAAAAATAGGGATTCACTGGCCAGAAAAAGTCACTTCAAATAGCTGTATGGTGTAGACCAGGCTGAATAGTGACGGTCAATTCTTCAGCCTTGCAAGCTGTTGAATGGTGCAATCCCAGCACAAGTTGCTATGGCTTCTGCCGTAACATTGCTATCATCGCCTCTGGCGATGGGCGTCAAAAGGTCAAGGTCATGTGTGTGTGTGTGTGTGTGTGTGTGTGTATGTGTGTGTGTATGTGTGTGTATCAGGGCCTGCTCTAGACATTCAACACAGCCCGGTCAGAGTGTACCTGGCGCATGCAGGCCAGCTGGGTCAAGCCGGGTCAGATCATCCGGCAGAAAAACAACCAAAAAGCCTGCTCAAAACTTGCAACTGTGTCAAAAGCTATAGCCAAAGTTACGCTTTTGACTGCTTGCCCCATCGACTTTCAATGTCCTGACTTCCTGCTCGCCGCTGGCCAGATCGTGCTCCAACCAGTTGACCCAAGCCGAGTTTCTGTCGCTTGTAGACTGTAGTGTGTACGTTGCGCTAGATTTGCAACAGATATATGGGGTCCGCGAGTCGTAAAATACCGGTATTTTAGGAATCCATTGTCAGTTTGAGACATTTTTCAGCCGGGTCAGACTGGACCCGGCGTTATCTGTTCAGCCAGGTCATGCAGTTCCCCAGCCGGGCGCGTGACCCGGCTGACCCGGCTCTCCAACAGGCCCTGGTGTATGTGTGTGTGTGTGTTTGTATTTACTTCACAAGATACACAGGCATTTCTGCCTCCTCGTCTAACCGTACGGCTGAAACCCTAACAAAAGGATGAAGAATGTACGCACGCACGCTTGAGTGAGTTCGTGCGCACTCGCGTGCACACGCACGTGTGTGTATGTGTGTATGTGTGGAATGCCGAAGTGCGTATCGTTTGGTAAGCTCCAGAAGACGCGCCCTCGCCACGGGCCACGCAAGCACTGGCGTGAAAACATCGTGATTGACCTAGAGGAACGCCACATCGATGACTGGTACAGCCTAGCCGAGGACTGTCGTGCGTGGAGACTGGCCTGCAACACCATCCAGCCGCCTAAACCTGTGTCTCGGGATTTCAGGTGCCACTGCGGCCGAGATTTTTGTCGTCGCCAGGACCTCACTCGCCACTCGAAGTTCTGTTCCGCGTGACTGAAACACTGTCGGTCCTTTCAGGACCTGCCATCATCTCCGGATGGGCATTATGGTATTGTATTGTATTGTGTATGTGTGTGTGTTTGTCTGTGTGTGCGCGCATGTGTGTGTGTGTGTGTGCGTGTGTGTGTGCGCGCGTGTGCGTGCGTGCGTGTATGTGTGTGCAGAGATTTGAAACCTGCATAGTGCTTTTTCAATGAAATCCGCCTGTTTCAGCTTTGCATCTTGCATGAGTGAACATCTCAGTGTTCGCAGGTCTATGGCTGCGCAGTGCCCAGTGGGTGAGACTTCATTGAGCTGGACTGTACTTGATGAAGGGATATATCCTATCCAGACTGTACTTGATGAAGGCATCTATCCTATCCAGACTGTACTTGATGAAGGGATCTATCCTATCCAGACTGTACTTGATGAAGGGATCTATCCTATCCAGACTGTACTTGATGAAGGCATCTATCCTATCCAGACTGTACTTGATGAAGGCATCTATCCTATCCAGACTGTACTTGATGAAGGCATCTATCCTATCCAGACTGTACTTGATGAAGGCATCTATCCTATCCAGCTCAGAGACAAATTAAAGTACTCGGAGGATGTATCGACAAAAAAAAAGTATCGTATTTCTCCGATTATAAGTCACACTCGAATATAAGTTGCACCCCCATTTTCAGGTTTGAGGCGTACTGATTTGATAATATTGACTTCAGTAATAAGTCACGCTCGATTATAAGTCGCACCCCCCCCCCCCCCTCTTTTTTACCCTTGAATTTTAGTGCAAGATGGTGCGACTTATATTCGGGGAAATACGGTATTGCTTTGCAACCAAACACAAAAGAGCCAAGCCCATCCACTTACCACTTTCGTGACGGGCGGCTTTCCGGGACGTGGGGCACTGGCTTGCTGGATCAAGAATGGCTGGTCAGCCACCTCGCGACTCTCAGCACCGGGTACCTCCATGGTGATCGCAGACACTCAAGAAGCAGTCGACGGCCTGCAAGTCAAGGAAGTCATCACAACATTGATGTCTCAAGCTAGGTTAGTGATCCAGGTCCGCCCTTGTTAGTACGACATCGGTTATAACTAGTGGTGTGCATGGGTAGTCGGGTACCCGTGCTACCCGTGCGGACCTCGGGTACTTGTAGACGGGTACAGAATAGTACCCGAAAACCCGAAGTCGCAGATGACATCATGTACAGTGCACGTGTACACATTCATGTAGTACTCCGTATGTCTACCATTATCTACCCAGTGTGCAAGGGAAGGGGTGCATTGTGATGTCACCATGGAAACATTACCCGATCGGGTACCCGTGCTACCCGTGGAAAACTACCCGAACCCGATACCCGAAGAAAATGCTACCCGACTCAGCCCTAGTTACAAGACAAACCTCATTGGTAGGCAGCCATTAAAAATCCCCTGACATCCTGAAACGCGTAAATTCACATCAAGATACAGTCCGACCTCGCATAACCGCACACATCCGTTTTCTACAAAAATATCCGGATAGGCGAGGGAACCGGATAATCGAACACAAATACTGTGTGTATGCATGGCAAATGCTGTAAATCGGTAACCAACAATTTTCCTCCGGATGGCGAGGGATCCGGATAAAAGAGGATCGGATAAGCGACGTCTGACTGTAGCATATAATACTGGTTTTAAGTAGGGCTGAGTAACTCCACTTTGCACCCGTTCCCTTACACACTGGGTAGACAAGCGGAGTATCACATGAATTTGTACACGTGCACTGTACATGATAATAAAATATTTTAGGGGTCAAACGGGTGTACCTTTAACTAACGAACGGGTAATTTTCTTAACGGGCGGGTTAACGGGTACCCTTTAGCAGACATGTTTAATTTTTTGCGCAGTTTTCACATAAATCAAGATTTTAATTCATCTGTTCTCGGGTTGCATTTTGATATCACATTTTGATTCGCAAATCGATTGGTGTCTGATAGTCGCAGGAGTAGATCTACTAGGTGCGATAATGCAACAACAATGCAGACATCCAGCGTGGAGTTGTAAATAATTGACTCCCGCCTGGAATACACGATCCCAGCAGTGTTGCTTCATACTGACTGGTTCATCAAAATCCAAACGGGTACCCTTTTACTAATGATAGCTTGCATAGACCTCGGTCCTACCGGTAGGACCTACCGGTTGGACCATCATACACAGACATGCTGCATGGCCTCTGTTCTAACATTGACCTAAAACTTGACCCTAAACTGTTGCTAAGGGGCTAATGAAGGAGTCCACAAATTTTAGACGTGATCGCACAAGGCATACTACGAAATTCCATGGTAACAACTCATGGTAACCATGGAAACGGAGTATGGAATTATGCATTCCACGGCCTTGGCAAGCTAATAAAAACATTAGGACTTCACCACAATTGATGTGCCATGGTCAAAATTCACTTTGGACAGAGTTGCTAGCGCACCGACAGGATTATGTGCGGCCATTTTGACAATCGATAAAATTGCGCATACGCAATACACCGGACATAGCCTTGCATTTTGCGCCATTATTTTGCCTGACAAAGACCTCATCTCAACAATTGTTTCAAAAAATTTCTCAACCAAAAGCACTTTTGCAGCTCGATTTCTTGGGTCCTACCGGTATGCAAGCTATCACTAACAGTACCTGAGATTAACGGTCGGGTACCCGGGTAACCGGTACACCCCTTTGACCCCTAATAATTATCATCTGCGACTTCGGGTTTTCGGGTACTATTCGGTACCCGAAAACCTGAGGTCCTCACGGGTAGCACGGCTACCCGACTACCCGTGCACACCACTAGTTATAAGACATGCAGGGATGAATTTACTGTCAGGTTTTCAAGTTGCATAGCAGTATTGCATAGCAGTTTTTGCATAGCAGTTTTTGCTATGCAAAATCTCAATTGTGGTGTAAGCTACAAAAAGCATGGACAGCCTGCACTAGTATAATGTAGGTATCGCAGTTTTCTGCGTGTCACTGTGATTTTTGAGTAGCAATAGATCGATTTTGCGTAGCAAACCGCAATGCGATACCGGATAAATTCATCCCTGACATGCAATTTGAAACACGTGGGATTGTCCACTAACGAGAGTAGACCTGTATGAAATTGAAACGATTGTCCAACGACAACTCTCCATGAATGTAACAATTCCTGGGCCAGCACTTGATGCTCCGTTAATTGTCTGTGGCGCAGCAGAACCAAATGCTTTACTGGAACATGTTTGTCCCAGCAAAAGTGCATGATTGGCACCTTGAACTTTCACGGCCCTCGACGCCTTGAAAGGTGTACCAAAAGAAATATTCTTGTTGGTGCAAATGCGGGTAGATGTCATCATCATCATCATCCTCTGCGGTGCCGAAAAAATAATAATAGTACAAGTAAAATAACAAATAAAATAATAAACGGCATTATGCAGCTGTGTAAAGCAGGATTCACAGAAGCTTTTTTTTTGCGATGCGACACGCGATGCGACGCGATCTGCGACAGATGCGTGCGATGCGAACTCGTGAAGTACCATTCACAGAAGAAGTCAGCGATGCGACAAAGTCTTGCTGATTTGGGTACGTCACCATGATATTCGCGCGGTTTGGTACAACTTGTACAAATTTATAGGCAACTCTTGAACCTTTGTACAACTTTGCTGTAGAAAAGGTCAAAATCGTACGCCAAATCGCTTGTCGCATCGCATCGCAAAAGTTGAGCCAAGCTCAACTTCTGCGATGGCCCAGTTGCGGCAGTTGCGTGGGGTGCGAGATGGCTGCGATTTGGGGATTTCCCGGTTTCGCGGCAGTCGCATCGCGTGTCGCATCGCAAAAAAAGCTTCTGTGAATCCCGCTTTAGCAGTAGATACAGAGTGTGACTGCCAGGGTACATGTTGGGAACTGGTCCAGGGCACAGGGGGTTTTCCCCCATAGATGACCGATGTTGAACTGTTGTAGTCATTGAAATGCAGTGGAATGACCAGGGCCGGACCCCTTACAGCCTACACGCACTGTCGTACACCGCACGCTCTGCAAAAAAAAAGTATATCCGTCGTGTCCAGCGCCCATGAGAGTCCTAAAAGTATGAATGTGCTCCGCATGCCTACTCACGGCTGCAAGGCGAACACCTCGTGGCCCCTTGATTTCCCACCGAATTTCAATGTCCCCCCCCCCCTTCCCCCTCCCCAACAGTGTGCTGTCGTCTCCTGATAAAACGAACACCATTGTGCAGGAGAATTAGTTCCTTTTTTTAAGTCGACGTTCGTTACAACAGAAATGCACTCACACTACACCAGTAGCAAGTCATCACTGACATATGACCCATGCCCGTATACAGTAACTGCCCTTGGTTTGCATGCAGCCCTACAAGATTAGGTTTGTTATAAATGGGCCATGTTGCGTGGGTTCAAATAGGGAAATGGACAATCGTTCGCTATATCGCGAAATTCGCTATGAAAATTACGCGAGTTCGTTATACGTGGAGTTTACTATACACTCTAACAGGATCGTGAATTTGTCGTTGGCGGTACACTAAATCATTGTTGAAAGGGCTTCCATGCCTGTTTTTTGTAATAGGAGTTGATGTGAAACTGTCGTGACTACGGCTCATATCAAATCCGCACATGCCCATTCAGTGGTGTTTGATACACGGTCATACCTGCCAACCGTTGCAAACCTGAGAATGGGACAACGATATACAGTCGAGTCGGGCGCTGAAGAACGTCCAGCCCAAGAACGTCCAGCCTGAAATTCTAAGAACACCACAGCCTAAAGCTAAGACCTGCGGTGTTGGTTTTCTGGCAGCTTGTGGGATACATTATGATCCAGTAGGGATTGCTTCTAAGAACGTGCTATAAAAACACAGCCAGATTGCTGAAAAATAAGAACGTCCCAGGCTAACCCCTTGGAAACAACGATCTTGGGCGCGCGACTCTACTGTACCTAGGTATAATAGTTGTGTGAAGTGTAGCCGTGAGTCATGTGATACGCGCAGTTTTGGGTGCCAAGCACCACCCCCAGTCTTGGAAAACACAGCCTAGTGCACACTGCCAGCTTTGGTCATCGGATGGGAAGTCGTACTCCCACCTCGATACCGGGACGGTCCCTACGGTACTGTCGGGCGCCGAAAAACGGACCGCCGAAGAACGGCCAGGCTAGAATTTCACCAATTTTTTGGAACCTTCTCGGCTGGATTTTTGCAGATAAGAACGGAAATTGAAATGTACACTATAATGTACACTCAGACGTATATCTCTGCATAAATGTACATGTAAGACTGTTCCATCGAATAAGAACGAAACTGCTTTGTTCGCTAAAAATAAGAATGGGCTAGGCTAGAACCCTGACCCCCCAGTTCTTCGGCACCCCACAGGACTGTACCTAATCGGGATGGTTGGCAGGCATGCACTGCATCATCTTCTCGCACTCTACAGTCCATTTCAAAACTATAGACGCACAGTGTTTTTGAAATATTTCAAATTTGGCTGGAACGTTTTGAGAATAGTTTTCGGAATATTGCTCAGGTCCGCTCCACAATTACTCTCATAATAATTATAGTTTCTAAGCGATTGGATAACAGACGCCCAAATTGGAAAAATTTATGCACAAAGTGATCACAGATTTTATGTGGTATAGAGGCTGGCATAACGGCTTTCGCCTAGGTACGCGTCTATAGTTTTGAAAGGGACTGTAGCCTATGCGAATCCCGCACATGAAGTTTCCGTGGTCTGGCTGTACACTGACACATCAGTTATACGGACACCGAAGTTACGGGCAGTTCGCTCTACACTTGGGGTGAGTTGTAGTTGAAATATTACTACTCTTTTGTTACTTCTAGTGGAAATAGAGACACCATAGCCATGCCATAATAATAATGGCATAAGGGGTCGTCCGTATTTTTCGAAAAATTAAAAAATCCGTCCCCAGGCAAAAAGGGGGTGGGTGGTCAAGTGTGCTGGCGGAATTTAATTTTTTGATTTTTAGGGGTCGTCCGTAATTTTCGAAAAATTAAAAAATCCGTCCTCGTGCAAAATTGTCTCTGACCCACCCAACCACCCCCCAATTTTTCCCATTAATTTTTTGATTTTTACCGATGCCCAGCTCGAAAATAAGAACTCCTGACCCCACGTTTTCTGACTGCACCTGTGTCAAGTACCAGTAGCTAAGTACAGTGAGTAGTAGGTCTACCGACGTCACGGCCATGCACCGTCCTACAACTATACATGAAAAGTCATGTATCATAGTAGATACTGGTGTTTGCGACAATCGATCCTACACTACGTCTACAGTACAGTACACAGTCAGCTATAATATATTATATCAGTGCAACAAGTGTATGGAAGTCACTGGAGCGAAAAAAAAAAAGTACTAAAAATCAAAAAATTAAATTCCGCCAGCACACTTGACCACCCACCCCCTTTTTGCCTGGGGACGGATTTTTTAATTTTTCGAAAAATACGGACGACCCCTTAGTACTTTTTTTTCTTTTTTTTTCGCTCCAGTGACTTTGATACACTTGTTGCACTGATTCAGTATATAGCTGACTGTGTACTGTACTGTAGACGTAGTGTAGGATCGATTGTCGCAAACACCAGTATCTACTATGATACATGACTTTTCATGTATAGTTGTAGGACGGTGCATGGCCGTGACGTCGGTAGACCTACTACTCACTGTACTTAGCTACTGGTACTTGACACAGGTGCAGTCAGAAAACATGGGGTCAGGAGTTCTTATTTTCGAGCTGGGCATCGGTAAAAATCAAAAAATTAATGGGAAAAATTGGGGGGTGGGTGGGTGGGTCAGAGACAATTTTGCACGAGGACGGATTTTTTAATTTTTCGAAAATTACGGACGACCCCTAAATCCCAAATCACAATTATGTGATTCGGAGTTACGCACATTTCAAAGTTACGGGCTGTGCCCTGTCTCGGACTGGTCAGATTAACTAGAAGGGTGACTTGCAAACCAGTGTAACTCATTCACCTACATGTACATAATGAAGACTGATATGTCTGAGGCTGTGTGTTTACATGAGACATTTCAACCCGGGTCGAGTTCATCCCGGGTTGAAAGTCTGTACGATAGACAAAATAGGTGAGCGTTTACATGAAGACAGTTGACCCGGGTCAAATACTGATATGCCGCCAAAAGTCAACTTCTAGAGTCCTGTATGGTCACGCGAATCCGTTCGCGCGAAATTTGCATGTACAGTGCTGTTCAAACCAGGCACAAGATACGCACAGATGTACGTTAATACGATTTTCTTGAGCCGGGTTGATTTCAACCCTCCCCCCCCCCCCCCCCAAGGGGAGGGTTGAAATCAACCCGGGTCAAGCGCAATGCGTTATGTAAACGCGCCATTCATTTTGTGTACATGGCGGGTTGAAATCTGACCCAGGTCGAACTCAACCCGGTTTGAAACGCCTCATGTAAACACAACCTGACTGTCGTGTGGCTGCAACTCCGCACTGAAGTTAGTACAGCACTAGCTATATTGCCCATAGCTACTTGCTATCTCGGTGAACCCCATGCAGTGCATCGTGTGAACTATTGAAAAAACGGACAGGACATAAGACGGGTCAAACTGCAACACTCGAATCAAAGTCTGAGCTAAGTTGAGGTTGTAGATTCCCGTTTCTGGTTCCCCAGTGGCCACGGTTCGTTTTCACTCACCTCCTTCGCATCCACGTCGATCATCGGCAGAAGTCTCCGCGAAGCTGGAAAACGTCGTTTTCAGACGACCTGTCAAAGTTATTCGCCTTCTGAGGTGCAAATCTGCTCGGCCTGCGCTCTGGTTGGCGGCGAAGGGCGATTGGACTTCTGCTTGCGTGATCCGTAACCGTTTCCTGGTAGATATGCTGTCAATGATGTGTGATGGCTGCTCTTTGGAACCAGCAGCTAACTGCGCGTACAACGGCAGGAGCTCAAACCGCGAGCGCCGTGAGACAGCTGATGAAAGCCAGCCCGGAGTTGCAACTAGAATGATGCTGATGGTCGAGTTTCCCAATGAAGTCTCTTTGCCGCTCGCATCGTGACCGAATGCAATCTCCCAGTAGTTCTGTCGTCGCATGCTCACATCTCTGAGTACGAGCGTTTCTAAGTAGAGAAGACTCACGTTGATTTCCGTATCCTGAAAAACCTCCAGCATTTTCCAAAGTGATTTTTGATATCGTCCTCATTTGTCCTGTCATAGCTCTTCATTCTCAAGAGGCTTCCCTTTTCCTCTAGCCCTTCCGCAATTTCCCTCCTGATTACCCTAGCATTTGGGCCACAATGAGGCGTTGTGAACAGTGACGGGCAGCACTCAAAACCCGTACCCACTCGGCCACTGCATGCAGTTGAAAAATATTTTTTCCCAAGTGTGCAGGCGGACTGGCGAGTGGCGATCTAGATTGTAGGAGTCGAGTGACCACTACTACAAATGTAGTGACGTGAAAAGACGAAGTCACATGCAAGACTAGTAGATCTACAAGAAACTTAGTTTTGATACTGTGCTGTAGATCTACATGTACGCAATATTATACTGCTCAGAACGCGTATCGGCGCAAGCAAAACGAGTACTTCTCCCGTCAGTGCGAAGAAAATGTGGCCGCCAACCCTAGGAAGTCTTGGGCCATTCTAAATGCAGTCACTGGGCGTTCACGTCGCCGACAAGATCCTAGTTGTAGCATCAGTGAGGTGGCCGACAGCACACGTTCCACTCCATTGTCACCGATCCCAACCGTCCTGAACAACTCTGTACTCCGCACGGTCCCGCTGGACCCATCTCCTTGACCGAACTTGATCCTGTGACTCCTGCTGACGTCCGACGTCTCCTTGAGAAGTTGGATGCGCGGAAAGCCACAGGTAGTGACGGCATACCGGGCTCTCTGCTACAGCAGTGTGCTGACTTGCTTGCATATTCTCTTGCTGTGCTGTTCTGCACCTCGCTGAGGACAGGAACCATTCCATCCGCATTAAATTGGCGTCTGTCTTGCCACGGTACAACTACAAGGCCGGTGACCCATCAGTCCCCACCAACTATAGACCTTTATCCCTTCTCCCAATAGTGTCCAAGTTGCTGGAGAGGGTAGTGCAACACCAGCCAGTTAGTTCGTCATTTGGACTTGAACAAGGTATTACCCGAAACACAATTTGCCTTCCGCAAGAAATGTTCCACGGAAGACGCCCTCTGTGTGCTGACTGACAATCTGCAGAAGGCGAGAGACAGTGGCAAGACCACAGGGCTGTGCCTACTAGACAAGTCGAAGGCTTTCGATAAAGTGCACCACGTCAAGCTAATTCAAGACCTCCTTGCGGTTGGAATTTCTGGAAAAGCCCTTAGTAACGGGAGGGCTTAGTTGGTTCGTCGACTACTTGTCCGGCGCAAGCAGCACATCCTCATCTCGCCTTCAACCAGCCCTGCTCTGGCTTGCACCTGCGGAGTGCCCCAAGGCTCTGTTCTCGGCCCTATCCTCTTCAGTATAATTATACTCACGAGATGTCTCTTTGGTTTCCTCGCCTGTGCCAAGTGTACAATTTGCAGATGACATAGCCCTGTACGACTCCCAGGCCTCAGCGGCGGAAGCGTCCAGAACCCTCACCACAGCGGCAATTGCTCTGGCCGGTTGGCTGAAGTCCCGAGGCATCATCTTCAACGCCACCAAGAGCAAGGTTCTGACTATCTCTCCCCAGCAGCATGTACAGGAAGTAACAGTCAAAAGCGGCGACTGTCTCCTCCCCTCAGCGTCTTCTGCGCGTTACCTCGGCGTTCACCTTGACAATCGCCTAGATTGGGACACCCATGTATACTATGTGGTCACCAAGGTTGCAAAGAAAATTGGCACCTTGTGGCGGGCACGCCGAAGCCTATCAAGACGCTCTCGTCAGGTGTATGTGAAGGCGGTCCAGCTGCTTTTCAGCCGCAATGCGAGAGGTGTTGCAAACCACCAGTTCTCAATTGGGAAAGGCCTGCGCGTGTGGCATTGTATTCGTTGCAATGTTGTATTTCGACTCCGCCGTACCGCTGATGTTGCTGCATGGCACACGCTATATGCGCTGTGTGCGTTTTGCTGTATACGCTGTTGTGTTCACAACTGGCGCGTGTACGCGTGAAACCACGCGTTTGTGCGTATTTTTGCTGGCTTTTGGGGCGCCATGCGTACGGAAACGCGCCGAAATGGAACTTCCAACATGTTGGAATTTTCAGCGCGTATCAGGCGCGTATCAGCGTACATGCCAGTCACTTTGACTGGCGGGGTCAAAAAATTAGTACTCGAAGGTGTCGCACGCGCTAAATACGACTCGGATTGCTGTTTTTGTGAAAGGCTGAGCGCGCGCTTGGGGGCGCATGAACCGCAAGCGTACCGCGTCCACCCGCCAGTTGTGAACACAGCTTTATGTCCCGTTATATATGCGTATGTTTTGCATGTACGCTGTTTTTTGCATGCTATAAATAGCTGGTGTTATTAGTGTTCATTGCTAGTTATTCGATGAAGTGAAATATACTGTGTAAAGGAAGAGAGTTGTCCTCGTGCCGTGTGGTCGTACGATCGTGACAATTTAGAGAATCTTAGAGGGTTCACAACATTTGGCGACCACGCCAGGATAGGAGCGAGCATGGCAGAGGAACTATGGAACAATTTGGAAGCCAGCTTTATCGACAATGGAGAGCGGTTAGGATTAGAAGTAGGCCTTGGCGGATAATGCTCGAAAAGGTGGCAGATTCTGCTTTTTTTGCACCGAAATTGGCAGAACCAAACAAACCTTATGGCGGGCAATTCCTCGAATTCTGCTCAATTTCTTTATCCACATACCAAACATGCATGAAACTCACCAGAAAAAGTACCGAATTCTGCCAATTTTTCTGCCGGCATTATCCGCCAAGGCCTAATTAGAAGGCGAGTTGTTGAAGGTACATGTGGAGCAGAGGCTCCAACAGTACGCAGAGCGTGAGGAGCGCAGTGCCAGACGGCGACAGGAGGCGCTCCGCACCAAGTTTGACAAAACACTAAAGGAGATTAACGAGCGCATCGCCAATATCAATGCGTATGAGGGTGATGGTAAAGCCGCGATGGGAGGTACAGAGGAAGCTCCCAGTCACAGCGGTGGGCATCAACCGTTGATGGAAATCCCCTCATATGATGGAACGCAGCCATTGGAGCGTTATCTTGACCTGTTCGAGGACATCTGTTCCAAGAACGAGTTCGAAGAAAGCGAATGGCTGCTGCGACTGCGCATCGCGCTAGCGGGTAGCAAAGCGGAGAGGATATGTATTGGATGCAATAATTACGAGGAAGCAAAGCGAGAGTTGCTTGCCTCGCTCGGAAAGACTCCGGATAAAGCGTGGAAGACATTGCTGACAGGCAAGCAGCGGTCAGATGAGTCGTTTCACCAATACGTTGTCCGTGTTTGCCGAGAGGTAGAGGTGTGGGCCACACTCGCTAAGACAGAAGATGGTGAGGTGGACACCAAGTATAGCGCCGATATAGGTAAAATGTCCCCGGTGCTGCAAGCAATGGCAAAGCAGGTAATCTTGAAGCAATGCGGACCTGAGATGAAGACGTACCTAGTCGAACGGCGGTGCTACGGGATGTCTCTGCGCCAGGTACAGGAGCACGGCGCGTCTTACCAGGTCGCGCACGGACGACAGGGTGATACTGCCAGGAAGCCAGTAGAACGATCCGTGGCAAGGCCCACGGCGTCGGCACAGTGCATGGCGATATCGGTCGCAGATGCAGAGAAGCAGCTAAAGTCACTGCCACAGGAAGGGAGAAAGGTTTTTCTGCAGCGAGAGAGACTCTGCTGGAACTGCCTTAATTGTTGCTTTCAAATCGCCTGAAACTCACAATTGGTCGATCTGGCTCGGACGCGAAAGACAATCCGTAGACAGGTGGTTCAGCACCAACACACAGCCGGCCTGGATTATTTCTGGGTCAGATTTCTTCGAAGAGGAAGGGACGGCATGGAGGAGAATAGAGAACACTGTCACTGGGACACTTGCACCTGGCTATCCGGCTATGCACAGCCGCACGCATTCCAGGCCCACAGACCATAGAGCGCCGGCTGTGACTGTATTTGCACGCACGCAGCTGAGGAATTCGGCGGCTGCGTGTCAAAACTCCTTATAGCCGTTGTCACATTGAAGTGGCTCAAGAAGGACACTGCACAGGAGGTTTCGTGCATGGAGTTTCTGGTTTCTCCTCCCCCCCCCCCCCCCCACCATGTACCATGTACACGCCCGTCGCAAGAGAAGCACGCAAATCTGCAAATACACTGGATGTGCACCCACAGATACACCGCGCACACGCACGCACAGGCACACACACACACACACACACACACACAAACACACACACACACAAACATGCCCTGGACGTCCTGTCCTGTAGAGCCACTGCCACAAGGGCCACGTGGGCCCCGGAGTGGCATCAGAGAGGAAGATCATGGAGCACGCAGCCTGACGACGCCGGAGATGGTGGAGCAAACGGAAAAGGCGAGAACACACGCATACATGACTGAACGAATTACGCTGTTGGGCAGTCGGGCGCATTGTCTGCTCTAGGATTGTAGGACAACCGGGTACACGTGTACCTGGCGCAACCATTTCAACCGGGTCGGAGCCGGATACATAATGTACCTGGCGCTGTCTCACCAGCCGAGTCACATGCTTTAACTGGTTGGGTGGTTTATTTTAATTCGGACAATAAACGGGAACTAGGCCCAATGATATAAAGGCGAATGGATAAGCCGCATTTAAAAAAGAGAGGACAGGAATTAGAAAATTACGAAAGAAGAAGAAGTATCTAACACATACAAGCCATGTAGTCAGTCCTTTCAAAGTTCGAAAGTGTAAAGTACCAACCGGGTCACAGGTGACCCGGTAGTATATTTTCAACCGGGTCCAAGCGCCGCCCAACCAGGTGGATTACCCGGCTCACCCGGCGCTGGAGCAGAGACTGGGGCGAGGGCCAGTCCTCGAGCACCGGTGACGACCGCGGCCTTGCGCAGTCCGAAAGCAGCGGGCACACACAGCACAATGTGCAGCACAGCAGGCATCCTATTTATTCTTCTTCTTTTTAGTAGGGAATTCCCAACAGGCGTCAGCGCCTTTTTACAGGGAACCCTAGGTATAATTTGATGGATGAGCGAAATTCAGCTGGTGAACTAGACATGCGGCAAGCCGGTGGAAGTGTATTCCACCTGGCAGCGCCCAAATAAGAAATTGCACTAAAGCCATATCGGGTGTTAGCGGGGGGCAGAACAAGAGCAGCAGAGACTTGGCCACGGGTGGTGGCTGCAGTGCGAGCACCATGGGCGCGCAAGGTAAAGCGGTCTCGCAGAAGAGGACTAGCAAGTCCATTCAGGCAGCGGTAAACAAACACATAGGTTTTGAAGTTGAGGCGTTTCTCAAGGGCGTACAAGTTAGTATGACTGCATAGAAGAGTGGTGGGAGTCATTCTATCCAACGAAAATATTCTCTTTAATGCTACGCGGCTGGCAGTAAGAAGCTTGTCATATAGGGTTTGTGATCAGCAATGAATATATGCAGTGCTGCCAAACTCAAATGTGAACTGAATGATCGATAAATAGAAAAGTCGTTTGCCAAAAAGGCTGATATTCTGCTTTGCATGGACACATGTTTGAGACGAGACCACGCGTATGGAAGCGAGTTTCTATGGTTTTTTGGATCCGCGCGTTTTTTTACGCAACCTTTCACATATACCGTGTGAACACATGCTGGATATAAGCAGTTTTGTACTGCAATCAGTTATACGGAGTTTGTACCTCTTGTGAGCCGCACCTTAGACGATTAGTTTCTTTAAAAAAAATCATTCATTGAGTGACAGTCAGTGCACGGATAATGCCAGCAGGAACATTTGCAGAATGTGGTGCTTTCTCTAGCATGTTTCATGCATACCTGGCGTGTGGACAAAAATACATGTATAATGGAGCATAACTCAAGGAAGTGCTTGTCACAAGGTTTACATGGCCATGGTTCTGCCAACTTCACTGCTTTTCGTTTCCAGTGGTCAATTTCAATGAAGAGACACAAAGACCTAGGCAGAAACACAGAGGGTCCGCAGAGAGAGAGAGAGAGAGAGGGAGAGAGAGAGAGAGAGAGAGAGAGAGAGAGAGAGAGAGAGAGAGAGAGAGAGAGAGAGAGAGAGAGAGAGAGAGATAGAGAGAGAGAGAGAGAGAGAGAGAGAGAGAGAGAGAGAGAGAGAGAGAGAGAGAGAGAGAGAAGACCTAGGCAGAAACACAGAGGGTCCGCAGAGAGAGAGAGAGAGGGAGAGAGAGAGAGAGAGAGAGAGAGAGAGAGAGAGAGAGAGAGAGAGAGAGAGAGAGAGAGAGAGAGAGAGATAGAGAGAGAGAGAGAGAGAGAGAGAGAGAGAGAGAGATCGGGAGAGAGAGAGAGAGAGAGAGAGAGAGATAGAGAGAGAGAGAGAGAGAGAGAGAGAGAGAGAGAGAGACGGAGAGACGGAGAGAGAGAGAGAGAGAGAGAGAGAGAGAAAAGAGGGGACCTGTGTTGCTAGATTATTCTAATTCCTCACTACCTCCGCTTTTCTAGTCCCTAGGCCATTCAAGATTTGTGACTTCTATCTCTTCCCGACTGTCATTTCCTACTTATTTTCGTTCCGCTGATATTGCAAATAACGACTTTCGACCTGGCAAAGGGTCAATTTTGTATGGGTTCAAACAGGGACATGGACAGTGGTAGGTTATAATCACGAAATTCGCTGTAATGCGAGTTCATTATAAGTGGAGTCGACTGTGCAAATGCACTCTCACTGCATAAGTCCTTACTGTCATGGGCCACTTGCCAGTCAGGACTTGTACAGTGCACTAGTGAGAGTGCATTTGTGTTTTTACGAACTTCGGCTATAAAGAACTAATTCTCCTGAACAATGCAACAATGGTGACAATGCATGGTGTTCGTTATTACATGTATCAGGAGGCGACTGCATGCAGCCAGGGGTGAGGGTAGGGTTGTTGTGCGCTTGGTCTGAACATCGTGTCGTTCTGACTCGTTCAGTGCTTCACTCATGAACTAATATTATTACTTATCACTCCCTTAGTATTGACTCACATAGATTTTTGCCATACCTAAGCAGTCAAATATTCCTGCATATTTCACTCCTTAGGGCTATATTGACTGCTTAGGGGTTGCGCAGTTGAACGGTGCCTAGTGCAGCATTGTCACCATGGTCACTGCATGAGTAGACGATGGTGCAACGGTTGTGCAATCATAAAACCGGGATTCATGAGGTTATCGTTCTGGAATTGAAATACGGACTGTTTGTCGTGATAAATCTAATATTGACTTCGTACTTGGTCAGTATAGGAAATAGGCCTTGACGGATTATGCTAATATTTTCGTGAAAATATGCTTTTCGCATTGCTGAAAAAATTGCAGAATTATGCTATTTTTATGCTAAAAGTTATCATAATTATTATGCCGCATTAAGCTCACATATGCTGCTGATGTATATGATGCTTCTGTGCAAAATTCCAGGGGAATTGTTTTGTAGAGGGCGTTGTACTGTAGTAGCAAAAGTTCAACGGGGTCACCGCGCCATCCGACCTACATGTAGCTACGACTGTCACTGATTGTAGTGGACTGGCCATGTTATCAAGGGAGTCGTAAACCTACGACTTTCTGGTGCATCTACTTGTACTTGTACTTGTAGAACGTGTACAACTGTATGGAATTTGATGCGAACAGACGGATTATTCCAATTTATGCGATTCATATGCAATTTGCCTCGAATTGTGCGATTATTCGATTTTGGTAAAAATTATGCGAAAAATCATGATAGCATAATCCGTCAAGGCCTAATAGGAAATAAAAGCCGAGTAAAAGACCTCGGCTTAGCCTCGGTCTTTTACTCGGCTTTTATTTCCTATATTGACTTCGTACTGAGTCAATATTAGATACTTACTTCACGAGTCGCGTGTTGTTGTATCCGAGGCTGTTGCTCGCAGGTTTACCCGGCTGTATGTACATACAAGTACATGGTACTGTATATGCCGGATGCTCTTCTTAGCTGACAAGCGAGGCGTCTACATATTATATGGGGGGGGGGGGGGCTGGTGGCTGGTGGCGTTCCCACGGACGAGGAAAAGTCCCTCTGATTGGGCCTGACGCGGGCAGTGAATATTTTGTTTACAGCGAGAGACCGCCCGTTGTGCAATGCTGCAGGCTTGAGATAGCTGTGGGCTGGGATAGTAACCTGACCTCTCAGTGTCATTCACAACTGCAATTGCTTCCAAGACTGGGCGGCATGCGGCTTCAACAAGAGACTAGCAGCCTCTTGATCTCTTTTGTCAGGGTAGCACATTCTTTCGCCAGCATTGAATCCCATACCACAGAGCCCCACGCTCCAGGATGGTACGCGAGTGTCTGCCTGCCTCATCTCCGATTAGACTATTGATTATAAATATTAGACATGGTTAGCATTTTACCGTTCACACTGACTTCGACCATAGATCTACGTGAGCCTGTACCGTTTTGTGTGTTTTCAAGACATGGTAAGCATTTCGATTTCTGACACAACGATCGACTTCTGACGTAACTCTAGTTGGAATCTTACCGTTTCGTTCTCCCGCTAAACAGAGCTTTCTATCGTCGAAACGATACCAAACCGATGGTAGTTTGGGTCTACTGTTGGATACGAGTACCGTTGGATTTAGCGAGAACGATAAAATGCTAACCATGTCCCATGTCTATTGACCTAGCGCTGCTGACACAATGCGTACTAGTACCAAGAGGCAAGAGTACATAACCCCCAGACAGCGTTGGGCAACCCCCAGGGTTATGTACTTTTGGTAGTGCTACTGAAGTATACTGTTCCGCCAGAGACGAACCGAAAAAATTAATAATAGGACCTCGAGCAGACACCTGGGTTCTTGACGCATACTATACAGCCATGTAGATCTACCAACAATGACCATTATGTTAGACGTCCTGTTTGATCAGGGACTCTCCAGTCTTTTAACCGTGCCTATGCCTATGGTGTGCTAAGTAAGTGAGTACTGACGCGAGAGCTATTATGTTCTACAATGTTATGCGGTGACGTCGAAACGCCGATGACCCGACGGAACCAACAACATAATCTATTCTTGCGCTCACAAACAAGAACATGTAGTAGATCTACTCGTACATCTGCAAAATCAATGCTACGCCATTTCATCGAACACTGCTGCCTCGCGCGATCCCTTCAAAAAAAAGGTTTTTCACTTGCAGCTCGGCGAGCGGGAGACGATTTAGCAGCAGACATGCCGCGGCGGCGACTGTTACAGCGTACACGATATGAATGTTCTCCCTCGAGTGTGACAAACTGACACACAGCAGACTCTGAATAGTGTGAAAGCCGCTGAGAGAGTACATCGATTTGTAGTGTGCTTGTGCGAGCAGGTCTGCTGCATGTAGGGTTTTTTCCCCAAGCAGAGTCTACTGATGTCGATCCACTCGCACACCGCACGCAGCAAACGGAGCACTTGAATGGCTTCGAGGTTCTTGCAACCACTCCAAGCGGTGCTTGAAAACCTCTGAGATAAACGCCGACCAGTCGGTCAGTCTTCCTGTGTGCCATGCAGGCTCGTGCGGGCTGAGCGCGGGCACTCGCACAGCACGGCATGCACACCCGCAGCTAGCGCGCGCCAGACCTAGGCTATGGCTATGCTAGATGAAGGCAACAACATCAACAAGAGACCGACACCAAGATTCAAGACACCTCCGCGAAGAATCCAGGTGAACAATGAGAGGCAAAGCCATTTTTAATGTTCAAATACCGCTCTGACAGTCGTGCAAGCATCGAAGGAGCTGAGCTTGTAGAACTTGTCTTCTCATAACGGGTCTTGCTCTGTTGGACGTCAGACTGAGAGTACGTTTACTAGTGGTTTGGCCATTCAAGACACGTAGCAAACAGGCGCGAACCTGAACTGAAGCGGTGCATAATATTGTAGGGTTCGTTACTATCGAGTTAGCTGCTAGGTGACTGACTTCCAGGCGCAATGGTTTAGCACTACGCCACGCTGCCGTTGCTTGTGGTGCCAAGCGGAGTGAATGCGAAAGTGCCCCAACCGCGCGTCATCCGGGTTGCAGTGCGTGGTGAGAGGTTTTGGGCATTTCGTTCAGGTCTGCCCAGAAGGCTTGCTTCAACCGCGAATGACCGCTTCAGGCACCCAGTTCATCTCTCACACGAGCATGATGTCAGCGAAGATTGCGGCAGGGGGCACCACGAGCCGAAGTCGACAGAGCAGCGGTTATCTTTCAGTTCGTACTGAATTGTCGTTGGCGTTGATAACGTTAGCTGTTGTGCTGCTGTCCAGCACCGTCCAGTGTCAATACACGCCGGGAAAAGATCTCTCTCACCGAGCGTGTCGAACGTTTGACGACGTTCCTCTGTGCTATGAGCGCATTGGCTACAATCGCACGAGATGGCCCAACACGCTAGAGGAGAACTTGCCATTGGTGGTCAACAAGCGACTGGACGACATGAAACCGCTGGTGCAGACGCACTGCCATCCGTGGCTGTTTGCATTCCTTTGCTTCATACATGTGCCGCACTGCACGCCAGACATGGATCCGTTCAGGCAGCTGCCCATCTCGCACGTGGTGGGTCCCTGCAGGCAGCTGTGCGAACTGGTCAGAGACGCGTGCCTGCCGTACATCAGGGCCTTCCAGCGCAATATGACCTGGCCTGATCACCTGTATGACTGCAGCAAGCTGATCTCGCACCCGGGCCAGTGTTTCATGCCGCACAGCCATAGCAACGAGACGGTCATACCGACGGGATGGGACATCGGACCGCACATTCAAGTCGAGTTCTCAGACATTCCGCCAACAGCGTTGCCGACGACTACGTTCACGGCAACGTGCCCTGGCGGCTCCGCGGTGGACAAGTCTTGGTACCGGTTTGGCGGCCAGCGGTACTGCGGGCAGAGCTGTACCCGGGACACCATGTACACCGAGCGAGATCGTGACGTGATCATGCCGGCCGTCTTTCTCGCGATCGCAATCCTCTCCGTCCTAGCGCTGCTGATATCGCTGGTGTCCTTCGTGGCCGACCTGAAGAACTTCCTGTCGCCCGAGTGGGGCGTGCTCTTGATCAATGTGTGCGGCATGGTAGCGGGGATCACCCAGCTCATTGCCGTGACAACGAAGCTGATCGGGCACAACCAGTCGTGCGACTCGACGAGCGACGCCGTATACCAGGGCATGGGCGGCGAGAGCCGTCTTCCTCCCGTCGCCTGCCTGCTGACGTTCTTCCTGACATACTTCACGGGCGTCCTGGCCCTGTTCACCTGGTTCAAGCTCTCCGTCTTCTGGCTAGTCACGGTCATGGCAACGCGCAAGACCATTCGGAAGATTGACACGTACCTGACGATTCCGGCGACGGCCATCGTGTGGCTGGTTCCCACAGCGCTGACGGTGGCGGTATTTCTGCTGCAGAAGATCGACGGCGGCCTGCTGACCGGCGCCTGCTCAGTGGGGTCGTACAACATCAACGCGCTGCTGAACTTCGTAATCTGCCCCGTGTCGGCGGTGAGCATTGCCGTGCTGTTCTGCCTGTTCGTCGGCTGGCGAGTTCTGCTGCTGCAGCGACACTACGCCGCACTGGCGTCGCCGCGCTCCAACGCCACGGCGACCACCGAGTCGTCGACGGCGCCCATTCTTGGCAGCGCGGCGCAGGCCGCCGGTCTCGGCGACGAGCAGTATCGCCTGCGCTTCGAGCGCATCGGCAAGTTCTGCGTGCTCCTGCTGGTGCCGGCCGTCGGCTACCTGACGACGCTGCTCTACGAGTACGTCGAGCAGGACGAGTGGCAGCTGACGGCGGTGGCGTGCGCCGAGGACGGCGACTCGCCCGGCTGCACCGGCGGACGCCACCCGCTGCTGTCCGTCTTCGGCATCCGCTACTTCATGGCACTGCTGATCGCCCTCATCTGCCTCTGGTACAAAAACCTGTTCTGCAGCTGGCTACCCTGCGTGAAGAAGGCGTGCGCAGTCTCGCAAAGTCAGACGCCATCTTGCATCCCGGTTTCCAGCGGCAACAGCACCCCGCCGGTTTGCCAGCAGACGGTTGCTGTCAGCACGCCGCCAGCTGCCGCCGCCCAGCAGACAGTTGTTGTTAGCGCATCCGTGACAGACGGGACCAGCACCAACAGCATACGGGCGGAGCTCTGCTACACTACCCAGAGCATCTCCTCCAGCCGCCGTGGTCGTGACATCTCCAGTACTGATGTTTGAAAGATGCCTGCATTGGCAATATTGGCAGCCGAACTGTTTGAGCTTGATTTTAGCCCTTGGTAGACAGTGTGGCAGAGAAATCAGCAGAATTTGTAACTTTTCCTTGAAAGTTTTGTGCATGTTTTGTATATGGATAGGGGAAAGGTGCAGAATCAACCGAACTCTTCACCATAATGATTTGTAAGGTTCTGCCAGATTCAGTGCTTCTCGAGCCCCCTCTGCTGATTTTCTCAGCACTCTACGCCAAGGGCTAGCTTGATTTGAGAACTCGTGATGTCTGTGAAGTTCTTTCCTGTGGCAGACCTGCTGCCTCCTCTCCAGGTGTATACACCTGGGCTTGTGCCTTAGGTCGCTGATAGTTGTTTAATAACTATTCACATGTACGACCGTGCATTCATCGGACAACATCCGATCAGGTGTTTGTGTTCGGTTCGGGTTTGCCAGATTGTGTCAAGCCAGTGATTGCCAGGGTGCTACGGGTGTCGCAGCATTTACATGTCCGCATGGTGCTCAGGCAGAAGCGCCATTGGCATTGCAGCTGCGCTCTATGAAATCCGACCCAAAGTGCATACTTGGCACCCTCAATTTGCACGCCCTGGAAGTGGAAGTGGCAGGAATGCTGCTGGACGTACGCATGCACAACATGTATGCAGTGATTGGGAACTGTTTCAAGGCGCCAGTTTTGGGTCGAATTTCATGGAGCGCAGTGAGTGGGCCGGCTGCAGAGACCACATGCCCGTACACCTACATGACTGTCATAATTAATATTATCACTCCCTTAGTATTGACTCACATAGATTTTTGCCATACCTAAGCAGTCAAATATTCCTGCATATGTCACTCCTTAGGGCTATATTGACTGCTTATATTTGACTGCTTAGGGGTTGCGCAGTTGAACGGTGCCTAGGGCAGAGTAGGTGGTGGTGCAACGGTTGTGCAATCGTAAAACCGGGATTCATGAGGTTATCGTTCTGGAATTTGAAATACGGACTGTTTGTCGTGATAAATCTAATATTGACTTCGTACTTGGTCAGTATAGGAAATATCTTTTACTCGGCTTTTATTTCCTATATTGACCTCGTACTCAGTCAATATTAGATACATAATGATTCGTGGGATCCGCGTCGGCATCGCTTGAATGTTCAGAAACACACAAACTAGACTGTCATACTCATAGTCATTGTAATTTGTAGGTCAAGACTCTTGCCTTGTGTCATTGTGTGGATCACTGAGTTTCAGTCTTGCCCAATCCATGTCTGCGTTCCATGTTAGTACACATCCACAGCACTAAGCAGTGATGAACAAAGTGCTGGATGTCACAGCCCACCTGGAGTCAAGGCAACGCAGCTGGAAATGGATCCATACGCGTGTGGGTATTATTTTCTTGATGGCAGGGCGACACATCTGCCAGCAGTAGTAACTGGCCTATATCTAGGCTTTCCCCAAATCGGCCGGCCGAAAAATTCGCCGAAAATGAGACTTATCGAAAATCGCTAAGCTTTTCGCCGATGTTAGAGGGTTCCTTTGAGAATCGCCGAAAATCTAACAAAATGTTGTTGCAAAGTGCGTTTACGAACGAACGATGTTGCTGCAAGTACATGCAGGACCGCTCGATAGGCTTTCCCCAAATCGGCGGGCCAAAAAATTCGCTGAAAACGAGACTTACCGAAAAATCGCTTAGCTCTTCGCCGATTTTGGAGGGTTCCTTTGAGAATCGCCGAAAATCTACCAAAATGTTGTTGCAAAGCTTTTTTTAAAGTGCTATTTTGAAGCCACTATTATGCCAACAATTCTTTTAGCCGATTTTCCAATACATTCCAATTTTGCAGCCGATCTTCGAAGACTTCGTATTCTTTGAACAATCAGCTGATTTCGCAGCCGAATCTGATGTATTTTTAGTCGGTTTGCAAATGAAAACGTTTCCGCCTTGACAGATCTGGGACTACACAGTACATGGACCTCCAATCAACCAAAGACCACACTCTGAACGAGAACTTCAACCTCTTCCAAACCGCCACAGCTGACACTCTTGAGCGACATTGCCCGCCTAAACCAATCATAGTATCATTTAAATACAAACCAACCTTCGCCTTGGGCAAATGGCGAGCTTAGAAAACTACTGTTCCGCAGGAAACGGGCTCACCGGAAAATGCAGCGCAACACTCAGCACCATGCACTCCTTCAATCATTCCGTGCTCTACGGCTCGCTTGCAAGCTTAAATGGACGACTATGAACTCCCTACTTGGAAGAACAGTCATTTACCAGGAACCGCAGGCCTCTGTCCCATCGCTCATATCCTCCTTCGCCAGCATTGTGGCGCCAGAAACACTGTCATGTGACACTCGTAGAACCAGCCTGTCTGCCGTTTGCGATGGTGATGCAAATAGTTTCAACAGCGCCATGCCGTCTGAACAACCTTCGTCTGCACTAACGCGCTCAGAAATGGAGCTAACGTATGGGCCAATGCCTGAGTTAGCTCTTGTTGCATCTGAGCCTGTCACAGCAGAAACTATCAGTCTTCTCGTTAAAGTAGTCACAAAGCCTGAGGCCGAGACAACATTCCTGCAGCAATCTACAAACTGTTCTCAGAGCAGTTATCTCCTACAAAAATGTAGTCTACCTCACTTGTTTACTCCTTCCTTCACATCTGGCACGTTCCCCTCCTTATACAAGATCGCTAACGTACGGTCAATCCTCAAGCGCGGAGATCCATCTGACCCTGGTAATTATCGTCCCATCTCTCTGCTGCCCATTGCTTCCAAACTGTTAAGCGGGATTCACAGAAGCTTTTTTGCGATGCGACACGCGATGCGACGCGATCTGCGACGGACGCGTGCGATGCGAACTCGCGAAATACCATTCACAGAAGAAGTCAGTGATGCGACAAAATCTTGCTGATTTGGCTACGTCACCATGATATTGGCGCGGTTTGATACAACTTGTACAAATTTATAGGCAACTCTTGAACCTTTGTACAACTTTGCTGTAGAAAAGGTCAAAATCGTACGCCAAATCGCTTGTCGCATCGCATCGCATCGCAAAAGTTGAGCCAAGCTCAACTTCTGCGATGGCCTGCGATGGCCCAGTTGCGTCAGTTGCGTAGGGTCCGCAATGGTTGCGATTTGGGGATTTCCCGGTTTCGCGGCTGTCGCATCGCGTGTCGCATCGCAAAAAAGCTTCTGTGAATCCCGCTTTAGAGTGGTGTGTGTACGAGCAGCTCATGACCTACTTATGTCATGACTAGGAGATCCCCCAGATAGGCGTTAGCCTTTGGGTAATCCTGAAATAAAGATTATTATTATTATTATTATTATTATTATTATTACTCTGATGCACTACCAAAAGAACAGTTTGCCTATCCCAGGCAGCACTCGTGTGAAGACCTTCTGACAATTGTGACTACAATGACTGGCAAGAGTGCCTGGACCGAGGTCAATACGCTGCAGCAGCTTTCCAAGACCTCAGCAAGGCCTTTGAGTCACTGTGACTCACAGGACCGGTTCATTTCGACAGTTTCAGGATCGTTTGACGCCATTTCGGGAATGTCAGGACCGTTTGACGTCATTTCGGGAATAATATTTTGACCTTTCGACCTTTGACCTTCCCTATTATGTTGCTTCGCGCTGTAAGAAATCAAATCAAGCACGCTCTGTACTGTCTGTCATGATCAGTGATGGCTGAATCTTGCCCTTGCCTGTAGCCCTCGGGCTTACAGCCCTTGGGCTGCACTCACGGGCAAGATTCAGCCATCATGACCTCCGATCCTGACCTGAGCGTGCTTGATTACATACATCTACTCTTGATAGTATCAAGAAGTATGTAATCAAGCACGCTCAGGAGGTCATGATGGCTGAATCTTGCCCGAGCTTGCAGCCCAAGGGCTGCAGGCAAGGGCAAGATTCAGCCATCATGACAGACAGAGCGTTCTTGATTTGATATCTTACACAGTTACAGCGCGAAGCAACATATTAGGGAAGGTCAAAGGTCGAAAGGTCGAAAAATTATTCCCGAGATGACGTCAAACGGTCCTAACATTCCCGAAATGACGTCAAACGGTCCTGAAACTTCCGAAATGACGTCAAACGGTCCTGATGGCCTGATTATGCCCGCGGCGGGAAGATCGCCTATTGGCCATGGCCCCGGCAACGATCACGTGTCATGTAAGAATACATGGTTATGTACTCTTGATAGTATTGACCTGAACTCAGCCGGCCCCGTACAAACGTCATGCAAACGCTTGAAAAATAAGCCGGAGACGAAAGCCCAAGCTTATTTTTCTCATGTAAACGGCCCCTCATTTCAGTCAAACGAGTTGTGTGTGTGTTTCGTTACAGTCCGAGATTTTTAACTCTTCTGCTCTTCTTGTCAGCGGAGTTAGTACCTGACTGACATATCTGGCCTTTCAGCGTCTAAAGGCGCCAGACAAGAGCGATATCACATCAGTTTTCGTGATCAAGTTAGGCACGGACGATCCTGGGCCGCTCAACACTATGGTTTGCCAGACAAGAGCGATGTCATAATTATTATCAGTTTTCGTGATTGAGGCACGGACGATCCTAGGCAGCTCAACTACAATGTACAATGGTTTGGCTGACAAAATGTGCAGGACAAACAACCCTGTTTGGTGTCATGTTCAGTGCTACAGTCTTGTGGTGGATAAATTCTATGTCTGGTGGCCCAGAGTCGTTACTGATGACAAAGTTCACTTGGCGTCGAGTGGTCAGCGTAAGGGAAACACAAGCGTCAGGCAGCTTCGCCAAACCAGTTGAGACTTTGACAATCCGAAGTGGCACATTCAGTTACTTAGTCATGGGCCCGAGTGAGCCACCGACCATCTGGAGAAATGTCAGTCAAAACGCCGATGTGTTTGTTATCTACCTTTCATGGAAGAAACGTCCAGTGACTATGATTCGCACAGCAAAGTACAAAACGAGCCATCACGGGAACTCATCGTGGGCGAGTGGCCGCAACAAGCTTCTCTCGCTGGCACTGGAAACGGAGCAGCAGCAGCGGTGGAGATTCGAATACTTTGTTTTCTGGGACTCAGATGTCCGACTCATCTACAGGCACAATCAGACAGGCTTTCTACTGGACAGTCACGAGAAAGCTGAAGCTCACTTCAGGAAGCTTTTACTACGTGATCGTCCTGCAAGGGCCGGTGTTCAGTATCCAGGATACCGAGATTGGATTCCTACCTACGAAACCAAGTGCCTGGATACATGCCGGTATGATGCGTGCGTGGACGCATTTCATCGGACCACTGTTGAGCACGTTCTACCCTACCCGCCACAGTTTGACAAGTACAACTGGTGGATGGCATCGGAGACTGTAACGTTTCGTAGTGCCGCGCTCTTCGCACATCACTGCAACAAATACCAAGAAATTGTTGTCGATGCTTTTCTAAATCAGCATGGAAGG